GCCGAGGCCGATCCTGCCTTCTCTTCCTGGGGCAAGAAGTACAACCCTCACCTGTGGAACGGCTGGGGCGATGCTCCTGGTCAAGTCTACCGCCGTGAAGCTGAACCCGCTTTCTCCTCCTGGGGCAAGAAGTACAACCCTCACCTCTGGAACGGCTGGGGTGACGCACCTGGTCAGGTATACCGCCGCGAGGCCGAGGCTGACCCTGCCTTCTCGTCTTGGGGCAAGAAATACAACCCCCACCTCTGGAACGGTTGGGGAGACGCTCCTGGACAGGTTTACCGCCGCGAGCCCGAGACCACCACCACTGAGGCTGCTGCAACTGAGACTGAGGCTGCTGAGGCCAAGTAAACTCGTTCTGGTCAACCCTTGGCTACCTCATCCGCTTGATGGCAGTCAAGTCTTGATCATTTGAGTACTCTTTCTTCAACTCCACTCTTCACACTTTACTGCGATTCGAGGTCCTTGCACTATTCTTGAGGACTCGGATGTTTTTTTGTTCCATCACTACTATCATCAGTCGGACTCGGATTAAGGCGTCTGGCTTTTTCCCTTCCATCTTTATCATTGCATTCTTTGCATTCATGTATCCAAATCAAACTTTTCTTGCTTCACAATGTCACTTTCCCTTGCTTGTGATGCATGCACTTGTCAACCGTGGCTCTTTTTTTTTTGTCGTGGAGATGATAAATACCATATTCCGACTGAATAAAATCGTGTTCTCAGGACTACTTTCCGATCAGTAGTATCGACTGTTTGAGTGTACCTTGTTCAAATGGCCTATGGGTCACCGATTCGGAACCAGATCTAACATAAACATCCTTACTGATTAGATCATCAAAGACGGACGACGATGAAAAGGTGGCAAGGGATCAAAAACTTGGTATTAATGATATGAGCAAGGTATACCCAGCGCCCATGCTGAACTACTGAAACCATTTCTCCAAAAGCGCAACATGATGCAGCTAAGCCAACGCGCGCAAACAAAGAAAGCAAGGATATGCCGCAAGTCCCATATGTACAATTGTGAAGAGCAAGGAAAATCGTAACAACAGATGCGAAAATCAATAGCCGAAGTGATTAGAAAAAAGGCTGCAGATGGACATGAATGGTTGAAGCAGAAAAAGGAAAACATCTAGTAACGTTCGCGAGGACCGTTACCATGTTCGTGGAGCACGTCGTCAAAGTATGCGCTAGGGGCACGTGGCTCAGGCACATTGCTGCTGACGTTACTGCCATCGTCTTGAGCGCCATAACCAACGGCCAAGCTGCTTGTGCTTGGTTGAGCGTAGAGGTTGTGTGTTGGGCTGAGCATGGCGTTAGAGCCAGTTCTCTGGTGTGAGTGTGGGTTTATGCTGCTGCGTGGGCGAGAGCCATCTCTACTGGATGGTGGAGAGTACTCAGCACGAGAGTAGCGATGGTTGGTAGGTTGCAGGTTTGGTACGCCGCCCATGAGCATAGAGTCGCGGCCGCCAGCAGCTTGAGCACCGGGAGTGGCGTAGTATCCAGCAGGCAAGTAGGTGGAACTGCGGTTCTGGTTGATGGGCATGTATGCTGAGTTGCGCTGACCAGCAGTAGGAGAGAAGAAGAGGGATGAGGGGTCTGCTGTTGGTTGTGTGCTCTTGCGGTTCTCCTTCTTGAGACCGGCAGAGGATAGAGGCTTGCCAGCCGAGGTCAGTGCATCGAGAGAGAGGGAAGAGCCTTGAGGCATGGCGTAGAGGTTGCCACCAGGGCCGTATTTGGTCTTTGCATCTGAAGCCATGACGCTGGCCATGGCAGCACGCTTGACAGAGCGGTTGATGGTCCATGCAACCCACACACGCCAGGCCAGTACACAGGCGCCTAAGAAAGCCAGACAGGCACCCACGGCTATGAATACAGTACCCTCAGGTACGTTTGATTTTTGCATAAAGGGAGCGTCGGCTGTGTAAGGAATGACCATGTCGGGGACGGTGGCACCAGCGAGTGTAGGTAGATCGGTCAAGTGTGAGACGGTGGTAGAAGAGGCGCCACTCGAGGTCTTGGAGGCAGAAGTCTTGGAAGAGTCGGTTGTGGACGAGGCGGCAGCGCTGGAACTGCTAGACTTGACAAAGGACGAGACTCCAGTCAACTTGTCTGTCGTAGGGGCAGCAGTCTGAGCGGCCGAAGTGGCCTTGGTCGTGCCGGCGGCAGTGGTTTGGGCATTATTGTTCTGAGCGGCGGCCAGGACAGCGCCGGCAGCGAGTGCCAGCAATAGGTTGTTCCTCCTCATACTGAATGCGTTTGTGGACGAGCGAGCGAGCGAGTGTTTACCCCGTTGTACAAAGCCCCTTCACGGCGGAGGCGAGGATTTTTTGGTCGTCTGAGTAGACTGTCACAAGGGGCAGAAAGAAATCAAAGAACTGAGCGTATCGATAGCCAAAAAGAGTGACGCAAGCTCGATGCAGCAACGAGGGCGATGCAGCAGATTTGCAGGTTGGACGCTGCACGAGTGGTGCATCTTGGTTCCAACTGTGCCTGACTCCATCTATTTTCGTCTCCCTCCCGACTCCCGCATGCCCCAGTCCGTGGCGCAGGGCAACCTCGCTCCAAAAGCTTGGCATTGTTGATCCGCTGGACCCTCCATCCTTATATCGACTCAGCTTGTTGCATATCTGTTTCAGCAGAGCATGAGAAACCCTTTCCCACCCACAGACTCTTTGCCTGGCCATGGACATGTCCACCTGGCTTTGCTACCTCCGGGCGCTCCCGTCCTTCAGACCCTGACTTATCAGTATCCTCTCAAACTGATTGCGCCTGCTCCTGTGAACATAACTCCACCGTTCGACAATGACTCGTCTTACCAGGTTCACACTCTTTATATTCTGACCTATGGTGGTGGTATAGTCGCAGGTGATTCTCTCAACCTGCGCATTGATCTTGACACCACCACTCGTCTGCTCATCCTTACTCAAGGCAGCACCAAGATCTTCAAGGCACCAACCTCATCTACACTCAGTCGACAGGACATGAATATGCACTTGAAGCCTGCCGCTGCTCTGGTTTATCTTCCTGATCCTGTTCAACCCTTTGCTCAAAGCGCATTCGAACAAAATCAACGATTCTACATTCACCATCAGCAGGCCCTTCCCAATGCCAGCATCTGTGTTCTGGACTGGGTATGTCAAGGTCGCAAAGCCTTAGGTGAGGATTGGAATTTCTTCAAGTATTCCAGCAAGAACGAAGTCTGGCTTGTCGACGGATCCACCGGATCCGATGATAAGAGGTTACTATTGCGTGACAATGTCACTCTGGACGCCAGTGACGACGCTATACAAACGTCACTGGCACGGCGCATGGACGGTCTCGGTGCTTTCGGTACTTTAATTCTATATGGACCTGTGTTTGCAAGTCTTGCGGCATTTTTCATGGACGAATTCAAGTCAATACCCCGGATCGGAGGCAGGAAGTGGGATTCCGGCAACGAAGCTGACGACGCGTCTCAAAATTTGGATCCTCTCGTCATCAAACGGAATGCAAGACAGAAACAAGAACTAAGCGATGGATTGCTGTGGACAGCGGCATCGATACGAGGATGCGTCGTAGTCAAGTTTGGCGCAAGGGAAGTCGAAGGTGGAAAACGCTGGTTACGTTCGATGCTGGACATAGAAGGCAGCGTTCCTACTCAGTTCGGAGAGAGAAGTTTGCTCTGCTTGCGATAAGCTCGCAGATCTCTCGTACAATCGTATCCAGCATTCCAATACGAAACGCGTATGTATTATACTCTATTCTCCAGAGGCCTTTCTCATCAGAGCGCGATACTGCTCGATAATGTTCTTTCTCTCTGCGCCGAGTTCCTCTCGCCTTGCCAAACTACCGGCAGCATTCGGCACATCGGCCACGTCTGCTCTAGCTCCATTCTTGACCTTGAACTTCTCTCTGGGTATGACGGTGAACTCGGGAGGAGCCTGTGCCACATCATGCAAGCCTTTGGGTTTCTCTCGTTTCGTCTTGAGAACTGCCCAAATGTCGTCGTCGTCTTTTGACTCGCCAATCATCCTTTGACGCTTCTTTCCATACAGTGTAGGCACACCGGAGTCCTCTCCGTATAACGCATTACGTTCTTCCTCCTCTTCCTCGCGCTTCTCTCGTTCTTCTTCGGCCTTTTCCTTGATGCGTTGATCCTCTTTCCTCCATTCGTCATACATCTTGTGCATTCTCTTCTCGGTTTTTGTCCGCGTGACCTTCTCGCCAGGTGCTAATCCTTGGTTGCCTTTCCGTGCTAGGCCAGTCACTGGCAACATTTGATCCACACGAGCATTGAAGTCCCGTATCTTTTCGCCAGGTTGAATCTTGGGCATTTCCATTTTTGCTGCTTTGGCCTTTTCCTTGATATCTTCCTGGCGCTTGCGCTTCTTGGAGGCAGTCTTTGATTCGCCGTCGTCGGGTGTAGATTTTGGTTGCTGGCGCTGCATCAAGCGCGCGAAGGCTTTCGGTGTGTCGTCGAACTTGTATACATTCTTCTCGGTCTTTCTTTTCTTTTTGCCGTCGTTTGTGAAGACGGTCTGCGCATTCTTTCCTACAGGCAGAGCCTTTGCGACGGCCGTGGGAGGCAGATTGAAGCTGTGAGGAACAAATGTCAGCTTCCGGACCAGAACGGGGTGGCAGCGGGGATGAAATTACTCGTCGGCATTGGTATCCTTTCTTCTGTGTTTGTGAGGCATTTTGGGTGGTTAGGTCTTCAGCGCGCAGGATTGCGAATTTGCGCCCAAAAAAGTCTCGACTTCTGGCGTTGTACTGCGTGATCTGCAGCGTTTGTCTATCAAGCAAACTCTAGATCTGGGGTACCCCGCGCACCAATCAGCTTGTGCGCTTCGGACATTCGCTCTTTTGGGATCTATCGTGAAAGCCACAGCCGACATCGTCGCTCGGAGTCTTTGACTGTGTTTCTTGTCGACTCGTGTTGCGTAACGGGCATAACTGTCCCTGTGCCCATGTGATTGGCCGGGCTGACGACGCCTCCAGAGGGGTAACTTTACTGCCGGAGGAGATTGACATTCCCATGGTGCGCAGAGACAAGCCTCGCAGCGGTCTAGCCCGACTTGAGCGAACCATCGACAAGCACTGAACCCGTGTTGCTTGTTGGCTTGAACTCTGGCATCCGCCCTCACCGTGTCAACCTTAGTATTTCATATGTGATACTCATCCGCTGCAGTCATTCGCTATTGGCTTTATCTACTCTCAACCACCCTCGTTGCTGATCTTTCTGTTTCCTTGTCGGCGTCATATCCTGTACTAAGAACAGCAAATCTATAAGAGCCCTGCCGCACTTTGCTCCGTCATCGATCCACCTTATACAAGATACCCAGGCATAGAGAACAACTACCAGTTCTGATTGTTATCACGCCAGTGCCAGATTGCAGGCTTGTTTGACCCATGGCAACTTCTAATTTCGACATTACTCCCTTGTCGGAAAAGCCTCTACCAAGAGAACCATCTCCTGCCGATATTGAAGATGGATATTATCAACCCATCCCTTCGCGACGCTGGTATAATCATGTTTTCGACTATCTCACTCCTATGGCCTTGAGGATTCGCAATCAGCAGGCTCATCCTCACCATCCCTTTATCTCACAAAGACCTCGCGCCTCATCAAGTACAAAGCAAAAGGAAGACTATATCGTTACAGAAGTCGCCATCTCGGAACTGGGAGCGGAGTCTGAGACTGACAAGAGACTCCGAATTATCGCCGTCATCAAATTGGCATGCATCATCATCCCTGTGACCATTCTATGTCTATTGTGAGTTGATTGATCTTGCCAGACCCTCATCAATACTGACCGAGATCTTCAGTGGTCTTTTACACCTCGTGTCATATATCTTCTATGGCAATCCTCTGCTTGTGGAAACCGATCTGAACTTCCTGCCAGATTGGGGGCATGCAGGAAAGATTGGAGATGGTCTAGGACATTATCCTACTGATTTTACTAGAGATGTTCTGCCAATCCGTAAGTACCTAACAAGTGTAGATGCTTCTTTTAAGAGTTTGACTGACCGAATTATTGCAGCTGTTCACTCACACAACGATTACTGGAGAAGGGTACCGCTGTATGAGGCTTTACACTACGGATGCACCGGAGTTGAGGCAGATGTTTGGCATATTGGAGATGAGCTGTTTGTGGGCCACAGCACATCATCCCTGACACCAAATCGCACCTTCAGAAACCTCTACGTCAACCCTCTCATCGCACTCTTGGACAAGCAGAATCCTCAGACCTCGTTCGCCAACACTAAGAACCACGGAGTCTTTGACGAAGATCCAGATCAGACATTGGTCCTGCTTGTCGACATGAAGACAGATGGTCCTGACACATTCGTCAAAGTACAGGAGCAACTCGAAGGTCTCCGCTCAAAGGGCTATCTCACTTACTTCAACGGCACACACACCATCCCCGGAGCCATCACAGTAGTCGGAACAGGAAACACGCCGTTCGATCTCTTGACTGCCAACACAACATACCGCGACATCTTCTTTGACGCTCCCCTAGACATGCTATACGAGCCATCACCAATCTCACTCTCCGACACCAACATCGACCCCGAACTCCGCAGCTCGACCGAAGTCGACGACTACCATCCTTCCTCAGGAGGACAAGGCAAAACCGGTCTACCCGCAAACACCCCTGCCTCGGCCTTCAACAACGGCACATCCTACTACGCCAGCTTGAACTTCAAAAAAGCCGTTGGCCACGTCTGGCGCGGACGACTCTCGCAAAAGCAACTCAAGATCATCCGTGGTCAGATCAGAGGTGCCAAGAAAGCAGGTCTCAAGGCGAGATATTGGAATACTCCTTCTTGGCCGGTTAGTCTGCGTAACCACATCTGGCATGTTTTGGCACAGGAGGGAGTGGGTATGCTTAACGCTGATGATCTGGAGGGTGCGGCGATTGAAGATTGGAGACGGTGGAAGCGTGAGTGGTATGCTTAGACGTACGTGCTGCTTGATGGCGATGATAGATGACAATACCCCTCTTGACTGTTTCACGAATTACGAAAACAAATGATATCCTTTTTATCCTTGATCTTCTCACTCTGCTCATTGCGCCTCAACGTCTCCTGCTAGAATTCCTTGAGTTCGACTTGTGCATTTTGTGTACTGCTAATCCTTTGGACTCCGGAAGAAAAAAGTATTGTTTGAATAGTGGAATCGTGTTGACTGCGAGAGCAGAATGCTATTAGAGCGCCAAGTGACCTCCATGACTCGCTACTTCTTCAATCGTCTGTACTCAAGTGAGTGTACGAAATGTACGCGTAACATCTGGCCTTTGTGTTCCTATCTTTTGTGGTATCGTATAGCAGGATATAAAGTATGCAAACTGCGCAGAAGAACTCGACAAGTCAGGATCCCAAAGAGGAGGTCATGGTCTTCCACGGTCTATCGAAGAGAACTCGCTGGCAAATACACGCAAGTACACTCTATCTGCCAATCTCTTGGAAACAACAAGAATGCACATCTACTTCCCAACCTCAAGCACTTCCTCAGCAGCCTCTACCAAAAGCCCAAACACCTTTCTAATACCTTCTTCGCTTGCCAATGGATTTGCACTAACCACACGAATAGCATACGCATCCCCGACCAACGAACTCGTCAAAAACACTTTTTTGCTTGCATCCACCTTCTCATATACTTTTTTGGTATTTGCATTTGCCAGTTCCAAATCTGAGGAATTGGGTTGTTGGGGTATCACCGCAACGTGAGAGTCTTGGTAGGGAACAGTGTGCTCAGCATCTGGTTGCGGTTCTGTGGTTGCCGGCTTTGGTGCTTGTTTTTGGAGGGTAGGGTTTACGGTGATTACAGCCAGAGCAAAGGATGGTGGTGTGATGATGCTGAAGAGATCTTTTCTGCTCTTGATCAAAGAGACGAAGAGATCTGATAATTTGAGATGGTGTTTGATGTGTGCTTGCAAGCCCTCAACTCCCCAGGTTCTGATTACAAACCACACTTTCAAAGCGCGGAAACGGCGTCCTAGAGGGATTTGCCAGTCGCGGTAGTCGGTGACCAAACCTTGGTCTGAGAAGTTGTTGCGTAGATAGGCGGGGGTAATCGAGAGTGCATCAGTCAAGTCGCGACGGTTTTGGACGAATAAACAAGAGGCGTCGAAGTTTGTGAGGAGCCATTTGTGCATGTTTGTATCGAAGGAATCAAAGGTGGAAAAGTGCTTGCAGTAGTGTTGATATTCGGGCAATACCAAAGCGACTCCGGCGTAGGCGGCATCAACGTGGATCCAGATGTCCGGGTAATCTTTCTTGACTTCTGCAATAGAAGCAAAGTCGTCAACTGCGCAGGTGTTTGTGGTTCCCAGTGACACAGTCAAGAAGTATGGCTCTAGACCTTGTGACTTGAGTTTTTCAATAGTCGAGCGGAGTTCATGGCCTTGGAGGGCAAAGGCGTTGGACAATGAAGTGTCGATGCTTCGGAATCTCGTGCCTGCAATATTCGCACCCTTATGGGTAGAACTGTGAGTGTGTTTTGTAGCCAAGGCAACAAGTTTACTCCTAATCTCTGCCGAGCGGTCCTCCTTTTGTTCTTCAGTGAGGACAACGCCCTCTTTTTCTAGTGTCCTTGTGACATAGCGTTCGCGTGCTGCAACCATGCAGGTAACGATGGCTTCAGAGGCAGAACCCTGGATGACACCGCCTCCCTTGCCTTTTGAGAGGAAGCAGTCAGGCAGAGCGAGCATCTGAGCAACCCAATCCATAACAATCGTCTCGAGTTCGGTGACAGCAGGCGAGCAGAGCCAATTGAAGGCAGGCACAGTCAATGCAGCAGACCATAACTCTCCCATCATGCCTGGGTATGAACTGCTGGCGGGGAAGAAAGCCATAAAGTCAGGGCTCTGCCAGTGTGTCATGCCGGGCATGATCTTGGATTCCATGTCTGCGCGGATCTTGTCCCAGGTCTCGGCTTGGGTTGGTGGCGATGGGGGCAGTAGCTTTGCAAGATAACCAGGCTCGACTGAAGGCAGGACAGGACGGTCGGCTATGTTGTCGTAGTAGTTTGTGATGTCTTGAATGGCCTCTGTTGCTGCGTTGTTGAACTGGTCCGACGTCATACCCATGGGAGGAACGGTGCGTTCGTCACGGACTGTGTGGGTGTCGCTGTGGCCATTGCCATTGGCGCTACGAACAGGGAGGAATTGGCTGCTCATCTTGGATGTCCTCGTATACCTCAGTGCTTGAGAAAGGGTACGGCGACGTGCGAGAAGCATCAAGCCAGAGTGTCGTCGATGCGGCAGCGAAGAGCCCCACACAACCCACAATTTATCGAGGTGCACGCGGAACACCTTCCGCACCAACATCTATCCACGCCTTTCAGTTGACATGCTACCCCTGATCTCGATCATCAGCCAATTGGACTCTGCGAATCAATTGTTTGTATGGCAAATGCTTTGACTCTTATATGATCGATCTAGATTCTGATGGCGAAACAAAACATCCGCAATTGGACGAACACTGGGAGTACAAGGCAAGCCTCCAGGGTTGCCTCGAATCTCGTTTCTGTCTAGACATTCACAAGTTACATTGTCAAATCCACTTTGACTTATCACCACCATCCCCAATCCTCGACTTTTGCATCCCTTTAAGTGCTACAATTAGCCTCACTCCCGCCTCCGCCGTACCCATAATCTCTTTCCTCGCATTCCAGAACCTCTCTGCTTTTTCAGTCTTGTACTCGCTTCTCACATCCACTGTCTCCTCCACTTCGGCTATGACGGGCATATAGCCTTTCTTCTCAGCCTCTGTGGGTGTACCAGGCGCACTTCGTCTTGGATTCGTGTACGTGAACGCATTCTGACGAACAGAGGTTCCAGCAGCTTCCTCAGAAAAGGTCTCGAGGTAGCGTTTACGGATTAAACGACGGGTTGCTTCTTCTCTCCTTACAGCCTCTGACCCGATTTTGTCGAATACAAAACGGATGGACAGTTTTGTTGCTAGGTAGACTTGTTCGGCAATGAAGACTGTGAGTAACAAGCGTGACAGACGAATATTGGTGATTTCCCCGTTTCGGTATAGGTAGAGTAAGGCAGCGGTAGACAGACTTCCTAGCCAAGTCAAGAACTCGAGAGCGGAGATGCAGGGACCGATTGAGTCGCAGCGAATAGGTGGTGGTCGTTGTGATTCAGAGATAAGTTTGAAGAAGTCGCCGCGGAGTTCTACCCAATTGTTGAGTAGAAAGCCTAGAGGCATGAGTGGGTAGACGACCCCGAACATGGCGAGGTAGCCAAATTGAACCGTCATCTGCATTATGTCTTCATTAACATCATACACAGAAGCAATTGCTTCTGTGCGCAGTCGGGATAAGAGCCTTGCTTCTTGTGGTGCATCGACAAGCAGAGTTTTTGTGAATTCGGACGTCATGCGTTGGTGTAAAGAGGATCCTTGCCGTGTGTCTTTATATCGACGATATGCTTCCTTTAGGTGTCGCTTGACCCATGGAACCACAAACTCTTCGACACAATTCATTACTTGTCCGGCCATGGACAGTGATATGACCTCCTCTTGTAAACGATGAGCGTCGACGCGAAAGTCTTTGGCAGCAACCAACTTCCAGGAGTCTGGCATGAGATATGGCACAAGTCGTGATCCCCAGGGAACATAGATATATGCCGTCAAGATTAGTGGTAAGAAAGAGGTGACAAAGTTGAGAACGAAGGATTTTTGAACTTGGGCTAGTTCAAACTCGTCATTCGTGCGATGGTTCTCGTGCTCAGACAGCTTCGATGCAAGGTCTGTCAAGAAGTCGGTGACATAAGGCAGAGAGACTGCGAGAAGGATAGTCGGAAGATATTTTACAGCCTGATATATAATTAGTACGTTTGATTTCCGATCATGATGTATGTCATACCCAGTAGCTTGCCAGCGCATCGCCATATACATCAGAGACCATAGCTTCGATGAGGAATGTAACAACCAGAACACTGCTTAGTGCCAGTCCCGCAAACGCAGCAAATGGTAAGAACAAAAGCTGCCTTGCCAGCCTCTTACGGGTGGAGAATATCTTCTTCACCTCACCAGTGATGGGATCCATCTCTTCCTTTTCCCAAGTATATTGAACGCGGTTGACTTTGAGCGCGTCAACACCTTTGACGTTCCATCTAATGCTCAGCTCGAGCTCTTGTCTCTTCCACCATTCGACAAACGTGATGCTCCAGACACATATGACCACTCCAAATGCCATCGAATATGGTTTTGAGAAAAGCCAGAATAAAGTCCCGCATGAGGCAGGCGCGATAAGAAACAGGGAGTAAGCTTGTATGAAGGCATAGTAGAATGCAACCTTCTCTCCAAAGAGTGCTTTGATCTGATCCAAGTCGTCTGTCTCGAGGATTATTTTTGCAGACAGTGTCTTCAACAGCTTCTTGTTCGCTGTCCAGGCATGCGGGGCAAATGACGCTGTTATACGGTTCCATTGTCCAAAGTTCGCAGTGATTCCCACACCGCCTTGCTCTTTTGTCCAGGTGACCAGATGGAAGACAGAACGTATTTCTTCAGAAGGCGTCGCAGCATCGATGACCGTAGAGCTGTCACCTAGAGGACGAACTTGGACGATCCCGAATAGCCAGTCTTTGACCCGTGAGCGATAAACCTCATTACCCAACTTGTTGCGAGGAATGCGAATGAGTATAAGCAGAGTTGTACCATAGCCATGTCGAACTTCTGCTTCCAGACCAAAAGCCTCAATGTCACGGATCAAAGTGTGATATTCATCAGTCGCATGATGAACCTCTGGGTGACCACTCAGCTCAGCACAGTATCAATCAGAAATTATCAGCCTTTGGAAACCTACCGATATCTTGAAAATCGTAGAGAAGCACCCAATCTACTTCAAAATCTTCATCTTTCTCCTTTTCCGCGAGGTTGCTGGTTGGTCGTCTCGTGAGCAATTGCATTCTCGCAAAGCAGAGTCGATATTCAAAGAAAAACAGGCCGTCGAAACAAAATAAAAGACATTGTTGTTCTCCAATTTGCCCGTGCTCGGTGTCCACGTAACCCTCCATGCTGCCAAGTAAGGTGTCCGGTGTTTCCGCGAGCGTCTATCTTAGAAGCTCTGTGGAGACAGTCAACCCTGCCAACGTGCTCAAGACAATTACAATTGGCCATTTTCGTCGAGAACGTGGTATCCTTCGAGAAGACCCAATTTGAGGCTATCTCAATGGATAACCCTGGATTCGGGTTACAATTGTGCGTTTCGATAGCTTCTCTTCAGCATAAGAGAAGGCTCCGAAAATAGCCCTCAACTGACTCTTTTCCACCAGCGAAGATCCGGATATGATGTGTCGGCCTTGGCATAGCTTGGCGTCATCGATGCCGACATCCTTCTTCGACCGAGGATGTGTGAAAATGTTTGCAATAGACCGAACGAGAATGCAGGTGCGTCTTTGCTCTTTTGGACGTTTGATGATTGTGAAGTGATGAGAGATTCGAGAAGACAGAAGCATGACCTACTGATTCGAGATGAGGACTCAACGTGCTTCTGCAGCACGTTTACAACTCATGACCTACTTGCTTCATGAGCACGTTCAGCATCCTATCGAGTTGATGAAGGGATTGCTTCAAGCTTGCAAAAGCCAGCGAACATTAGGTGAAGCCTGAACAGACATGATTTGCGACTTCGTGGTTGGTTGACAAATGCTTCGAGAAGGTGATTATGCATCACCTTTGCTTCAGATGACTTCCTATGCAGGCAATCTCGATAGTGCATGATTGCTCCCGCCTACCTGCATCCCTTCGACAGCCATGTCGCGCCGCGAGAACCAGGTTTCCAACATGGGCAGTCGCATGCTTATGTACCTGTACCAGAATGTCCGTGCGCGCAGATTCAGTCTACACAGCCACCCCCATCTCTACCTGAGCATGTCGTCTGACGCGAACCTGCCAATTCTCGCTGCAGCCAACATCATTCTGGTGTGCATCAAGATGGAATAAGGGCGCTGTGTTGCGCCTCGAGCTTCGCGGAAGTTTGGGGTTGTGTATCGCGCCTCTCGTGTGCTAGAGCTTGTAACTTGCTTCGTACCCTTCTCCAGCAAAGAGCGAGATGCACACTACAGAACGGCACGAATGTATTCGAAAATGTAGGCAGGTCCACAGAGAATCGATTGGCTGTCGCCTCTCAATGGACCCCCTCCTATTTCATATACTATTGTGCATTTTTATAGTTGCACGCAAATACTGCAGCAGCATCATCGGGAACCTGGTCGTCTTGCCCCAAATTGTTGCCGAACACCACCTGCCTATCCTGGCATCGTTTCAGGGCCACAAAGCGTATCTGTCAACCAAGCATCATCAAGCTATACAAGCTTCCACACCCCACAACCCTTATCGCAACGTCCTGGAGACTACGCGCGTCTTGATGAATTGACTTTCGTAACATTAATTCGTCGACAAATGTAACCCTGGGCTGCTTGTAGCTCCTGGCTGTTCATTTCCGGCGCTTCGGCATATGAGCATATCAGCATGTTGCACCCCCATATCTTCATGTGGCTTGCCTGACACGGCTGGACAAAAAGAAATAGCTCATGCAAGAGCTATATGTAGTGCAGTACTGCCCACCTTGCTCCATGATGTAACTCCCATACCATCGTGATGGCAGCCCCTCAGCAGCGCCCTGGCTTCGCGAGAGCCGACACCGACATGGCGGCATCTGGTATCGAACTCGAGCCTAGCTCCAGCAAGAGAAAGGTCCCTCAATCTTCTGGCTTAGAGATCGAAACCCCAAATACCAAGACCGGTGTTGTTGCCGGAAGCGTCAAGGAAGTTCATCCGTATCAGGACACCGATGACTACAGCATTCATGAAGGCACCAACGGCTATGTCGCTGAAGAGCACAAGGTTGTCGAGACCGCCGAAGACTTGGTAAATCAAGTACTGAGCGTGGAAGATGATCCCACTCTCAATCCATGGACCTTCCGAATGTTCTTCTTGTAGGCTTACATGATTCTTGATTTCCTGATCAAACTGACGAGGATACAAGGGGACTCGGGCTGTCCATCTTCGCATCTGTTCTTCAGGAAATTTTCTACTTCAAGCCGCAAACGATCTATGTCTCCAACGTCTTCCTGTGCGTTATCGCATATGTACTTGGTGAAGCCATGTCAAAGGTCCTTCCTAGTAAGGGTGTGATCGGAGGTTACTTAAATCCACACCCTTTCAACATGAAAGAGCACGCGTACGTCTGCGATAAAGCCTAGTATCCATCATAACTAGCTAACTGGCTGCAGTGCTATCACCCTCATGGCTTCCGCCGCCGGTCAATCTGCCTTGTCGACAGAAGTACTTGCCGCACAAGAGCTCTGGTATGGAGGCTATCCTAGCAAAGCTGGCGGAGTTTTTGTCACGTTATCAAGCCAATTGATCGGATACGGCATTGCTGGACTTCTTAGAGAGGTGCTCGTTCACCCCACTAAGATGTTATGGCCCATCAATTTGCCTGTAACCACCTTGTTGGAGAGTCTTCACAAAGATAAGGTGGTTGCAAAGCAAAAGATCAGAATCTTCTACATCATCTTCGCAGTCATCTTTGTATGGGAAGTCTTTCCCGAGTATCTCTTTCCGGTCCTCGAGGGAGTCTCTATCTTCTGCTTGGCTGATCAAAACAATTTGGTCTTTACTAACCTCTTTGGTGGAGCCAGTGGTAACGAGGGTCTCGGGTTTCTCAGTTTCTGCTTCGATTGGCAGTACATTGCTTCTCTGGGCAGTCCTCTCTGGCTACCACTCGAGACTATGACGAACAACTTCATTGGCTATATCGGCTGCATTGTCCTGTTCATGGGTCTTTACTATGCCAATATGTGGCGTGCTCAGGAGTAAGTGCCATGTTCATGATTCGCGTTCAAGTTGCTAATTCAACAACAGTTTCCCTTTCCTGGCTCAAGTACTATTTACTGGGGAGAGTAACGGCACTTATTACGCTCAGTACAATCAGACCCTTATATTGAATTCGAAGATGGAAATCGACCAAGCCCTACTGGACAATGTTGGACCGCCATATTTGACGGCGACATATATCGCGTATCTTATAACTTCGAACGCCGGGTTCACCGCTACCTTCATTCACATGTTTCTCTGGAACTACGAGGACATCAAGGCTGGTTGGGCTTGGGCGAAGCCGAGCAACCTTCGAAAGTTGTTCAAGCCTCAGACCTACAAATTCTGGCAGAACCAAGAGTCGCCTCAGGAGCGGCTGGCCAGAAAAGAAGCCGATCCGGATCTCGATCCTCACTATAAGCTCATGCTCCGCAACCTGTACCCAGAAACGCCATTGGTACGTCTTCAGTATTCTTTGCAGGAGTCTTTTGACTAATACCTTCTCTACAGTGGTGGTGGGGCGCTGTCGTAGTTATCTCGTGGGCTGTCGGTCTAGCATGTCTTTATGGCATGAAATCGACACTTCCATGTAAGTTGATACCAATATTCGGATGTTGGACCGACTGATGCTTATCACTGTCAGGGTGGGGATTCTTGCTGTCAACCGCATTAACATTTTTGTGCGTCTTGTTCTTTGGAGCCCAGATGGGCATAACTGGTTTCCAATTCAACATTCAGCCGATTTGCCAGATGCTTGCTGGCTATATGTTCAAGGGCCGTCCTCTCGCCAACATGGTAAGAATTCCGACTCCGACCCCGAAATACGTCTTCTCCACACTGTCTTGATGCTATTCGATAAGCTATGGAAATGCACGATCGCGTTCTGAAGAAAAGGCTTGCCATGGAGATAGCCTTTGATGAGGTCCTCTCTGCGGAAACCGTATCTTCCATGAAAAAATCGTGCATTTCAGCAGCTACACTGTGACAGTCTTTGACAGTGGGAGAGGGTTCAAAAATCTCTACGTGCAAGTTTGCTGACTTTTTTGGTACTTTAGTATTTCACCGTATGTCAAGCATCTAAGCTGCTATCACCTTACGTCATTAAATAATTGACTGTTCGCCTAGTGTTATACCTACAACGCATTGCAAATGGCGGAAGTATTAGCCAAAGATTTGAAGACAGGACAGTATATGCATCTAGCACCAAGTAAGTCTAAAGCTGGTGGCCATAGGAGGAAAAAAGGAGAAAAAAGGAAAAGAAAAAAACTAGCTTGGCCGATTATCATCAAATTCATGTACTGACTAAGTGCAGGAACTACATTCTTTGTTCAAATTTGTGGCTGCATCGTTGGTGCGCTGTTCAACTACATCATGTACTGTGCACTACAATCTTGGAGGAAGGGCAGACACTAATTTGTCGTAGGATGATCTCCATTGTCCAAAACCAAGCCACAATCCTCAGATCCATCGCGGGCAGTAATATTTGGAGTGGCCAAAATGTTCAACAGTATGCTGATATTCTGCCCTGGTGAGACAAGTCAAGTTTGCTGACAGCTTCACTCAGATTCAATACTCTTGCTATAGCCTGGTCCATGCCCGCTGAGCTCTTCTCCGTTGGCGGCAGGTACGAGTGGGTTACGCTATCTTACCTCATCGGGTTCATCGTTCCTGTCCCCTTCTGGCTGGCTTACCGCTACACCAAACATCCCGTGTTCAGGTACCTGAACATGTCGATCATCCTGTGGTACATGGGTTGGCTGTTTGTCGGCATCAACGCCAGTATTCCCATGTTCTTCGTCGTCGGTTTCATCTCGCAGTGGTTCGTTCGTCGCCGCTACCCTGAGCTGTTCGTCAAGTACAACTACATTGTCAGTGCCGCACTTGATGGTGGCACTCAGGTTCTTGTCTTCATCTTGACCTTTGCGGTCTTTGGTGGAAGTGGTAAGGCTAGACCTTTCCCCACTTGGGCTGGTAACCCGGATACTACCCTGCACAACCTCGATTACTGCATGGTCAACCCTGGTACTTCGGGATGATCGAAACATTCGAGCAGGAGGTGGTTGTGACTGTTGGGATAAGATTACGTACGGCAGAGCCTCCCTCAGGATTTTACCTGGTTTTCAGGCATTGTCTGTCATGAGGCTGGTCGAATTGTGGCTTCACGATCTCAAGTCAATTTTGACTGCTCGCCTACACACAACAGTCTGTCACTTTATCTTGGGCCGAGCCATTCCGTTGCTGGTTCTCGTTCCCTTTCCATTACAGGATCGTTGTGATAATTGACACCCGTTCTTGGGCTCTCTATGGACACATCTCTATCTTGGAAACCATCGTGCATGTCCATAGATACACGAAACAGGGTGCTATATTTAGGAGAGTGTAGAAATGGATAAACAGAATGATTCACTATGTGACGAGCAGAGGACCCTGCTATTCGCTACTTTGAAGTACTTGCAATCAATGCTTCATAGAATGCCACTCTCGCCCTGAGAGGATCTGATATCCAAAGCTGTTTGTTTTGCCATTACGCCTTCTGCATACATCCTTCGAGCTCAGAAAGCATAGATGCTTTTTCCTCAGCTGCCTGGCTTAGCAAGCGCCAGTGCAAGCGCGTCACATCACATACCTTGCCTCTCACAAGTTGTGCCTTCTTTCACTTTCGCACCTCACGCCCGCAATCTTTTTTCTACAAACCCCGATGTCCTGGTTGGAAAATTGTCATCGAGGGTAGCTGTCGGTACCGTAATGTTTTTAAGTACATCCATCTAGATACAAAAAGTCTGAAGGTTCTGGTTTTGCAGATACTGTGTTAATTTATGTTGATGCTATTTGCTGCTAATGCTCCAAAGACTGCTCTTGGTAAGACTGGCTTATTGACGCATCATTATCTCGCTTCCATCAAAGCTCACAATCAACCCATGAAGAACCATGGATCTTTGCCATCGTACGTGGCGCCTGGGTACTCAAATGGGATGTTCTCAGATCCAAAGACATCCATGCTAGGAACCTCGGTTTGAGCTGCCATTGGCTTCGACTCAATTTCTGCGGCTTTCTTCTTTGGAGCTTTGGGTCCTTTCTGGTTCTTGCTGTTCTTGAGTGGTGCTTCGCCGTCGCTATCAGTCGAAGCGTCCTCGACCTCACTCTCAGTCTCTGCGTCATCATCGCTCAAGACCACGACTTCTGGCGTTTTGGCGCTCGTCTGTTGTTCCTCTTTTGTAAGCTCCTCTTTTAGCACAGCCACGATGACACCACATTCCCAGTTCCTGCATCCGATCTTCCATTCCTTGTTCTTGCGGTCCCAACTCAACTTGCCCCAAGCGGACTCGCTCAAGTTTGCACTTCCAACGTACTTCCACGCGACTTGCTCTCCTCTCTCATTGATGCCTCGGGCATACAGAATCTTGTTGTGCGAAAGCATACCAGGACGCTTCGAGCGGTAGTCTCGGAAGCATTCACGCGGGAAACCAGAACGGTTCCACCATTCGGATCTGTGGCAAATCGTTCCACCGCACATTACACCACCTTTGCTGGCTGCGACAGTCGAGTGTGTCGGGAAATAGATGCGAAAGCTCTCTCGGATGTTGGTCGTCGGAATGGTATCCTGAAAAGGTTTGGGTGCAGTCCGGGAGATAGCTGCGGGAATGGCTGTCGCATCTTCGCCTCGAGCGGCATTGTGCATGATCGTGAGGAAGTCGTCGTTCAAGGAACCCATGGAGGATGCTGGATAGTCGATCTGAAGGTTGGACTGAGAACAAATGGAGAATTGAGACGAAGGGTGCAACTCGCGGATTGCTGTACTTAGACCAACATAACCAGTTCTTTCCATGTCATCACCGTAGTGAGTGCCACCAACTGAGTGGATAAAGGCAAGGTCTTTGGTGTTGCTAAAGTCGAAGTTCAAGACACCTTTCAAGATGTCTTCTTCACAACCTTTCTTGCACAGAAAGAACAGTAGTTCACGACCAAACTGAGGCAATGAGCTTGCATCGTTGGTGGCAGTATCTTCAAGCCGAGGCAAGTCAATGAGAAAGACAGAGTTCTCCATGATACCTTGTTCGCCCCAATCATAGCTAGTCAGATTAGCCGAAGGGACCACTACCCTCAGCTTGTGAGGATGGAACAACAACATGAGCTTGGAGTGCATGCAGTTGATATTACCTTCCATGGAGGGAAAGACGAGTCGTAGGATCGTACCCATATATGCAGTCTCTTGGCGATATTGTTGTTTGACATCCTCATTATCTGCTTGCATGACCATGATAACTTTGGTCTGTTGCAGGTTGAGCTTTCCCATGATCCAGTTCGTCTCCCATTGGAATGCCGAGAGCAAGGCTGTGCGCAGTGTAGACTTTTCGAGCACTTCCTCAATCTTGATATCATTGTCACGAGCGTGACCAAAAGCCCATGTCTTTTTGACAGTGCCATGAGGATACTGAAGTGATGATGGTGCATCTGATTGTTCTTTGATTTTCTTGGCTGGTCGTGATGTGGGGGGTGGAGAAATGGATCTTTGTCTTTTGGCAGTGGTCGCTGGCACCGGTGTAGCTTGCGACTCGGTATTTGATATACCTTTTGCTGCCAGTCTTGCTAGACGCTCGGCTTCCATAGCCTTGCGATCAAGACCTGGGATGCCTGCCATGGCAGAGTGAGGCCGCCAAGTGACGTTGATGCGTATGAGTGAATGGGCAGTCTTGATGTGATGCAGTTTGATATATTTGTTGTTCAACGTGAGCATAGACACATTAGCTCCGGTCGCATTCAATCTGATGATAATTGTCGCTGGAAAGTGGGATGGAGGATGGTGAGTAAAGGTGAATGTGTTTGTTGTGCAGGTGGAAGCGGAGACAACAATTGTCTCGGCTGCACTTGCCGAACGAAAAAGTGACTATATCCCTGACCCTGTTCTTCTTTTTTGTTCTACCTTCCGTCACGGCAAGCACTTCTCGTGGAGACAGCAAGCATCGAACAGACATGAATACCGTAATAAGAGAGGTTTTTGAAGTTCTTGAACATGGCAAGACGCATTGGTGTGGTGATATGACCTGACGACGCCTTTAGCAATTCGAATCGGACCAAGGCCTCACCCAGGTCGCGTCTCACTTGTCTGATGTGATGAGATGCGTGTGTGCTCATAGTGGTATCTATAAATAATGGTACAAAGAAAAGTAATCCAGCCCAGACAGCACACCAACAAGACCAACCCTGTGCTATAACATGAAAGAATTTACTCGGGGTCGTATTCCTAGAACAAGCCCCAACCCTTCTTTCTTCTATCGCTCGTGTCATCTCCAAGACGATCACGCTCACTGAGCCGAGAAACGGGTTCTCTGCCTCCTCTGCCCGCTCTCTTTTCTCTGGCTTCCAGAGCCTTGAGTGCCTCCATTTCCTTGAGTACATGCTCCAGAAGTTCTTTTCTGTGAACCACGTCCAGATGGCGGCGGATCTTAGGATCTTCGCGTGCGAATTGATCGAGTTGTTGAGGTGTAAGGGAGCGGAATTTTGAGTCAAGGGCGCGAGGGAACTGTTTGAGTCAGCATGGTTCGTATCTCACGAAGCATGGTTGGGATATTCTTACTTGATAATAAAATTTGCTGAGCAATTCAGCATCAATAAAGAGATCGGCGGTAGTGGTAAGCTTATCGGCCACTGCGTCGAGGAAAATTTCCGGACAAATGTATTTGTTGTTCTTGTTGGCGCAAGCCTTGCTCTTGACTGCGAGCAGACGCATGCGCAAGATGTCGGCACGATCACGAAGGAAGACTGCCTCTCTGCCCTTTGCGAGAAGAGCTGCAGAGAAGCCGCCAGCGCCTCCACTGCTATTGCCTTCAAGGTTTATGTCTCCCTTTCTGACCTTGTCAATGAAGGTTACGACATCTTTGAAACGCTTTTTGCCTCCCATCTCAGCTTCAACAGCCTTGACGGCATCTTCACAATCTCTGAGTTCGGCCTTGAGGACTTTTTGTACGTTTTCGCGACCACGCATCCATTCCGAGTCTTCAAGATCGATGCGATGTTTGTAGGGCTTGACACAAATTTCTAGCTCATCGCTGGTATCGTAAGCTAGATCGTGTAAGATTCCCTGCGCAGCTTGAGTAATTGCTGTTTGGGCGAAGGGATGAGCGTTGAAGGTCGAAGACGAAATGAGACGTTCGACATGTGCTTGCAAGCACTCAGCAGCGACAGTTGTTGCAAGACGTCCAATACCAAGTTTGGTAAGGGAAGCGGAGCTGGCATCAAGCTTGAGACGCCAAAGCTGATCGTTAGGATCCGCTTTTGGTAGAGCAGAGAGGCTCTCGACAAAGCCTTCGCCTTCTTGAGCCGAAAGGTCTTCGAGAGGTCTGTTCCAGTATCGCGAGGCGAGCAGATTGAGAACTTGCTGATCGAGTTCGTGCTTCAAGATATCGCGCAATTGATGGCGACCGAAAGAGTCTGAGAAACCCTTGAAAGAGTGTTTGAAGGCGTCAAGACTCTCAGCCAAATATGACTCAGCTGAGAGAGGACGCTCGTTGTATTGTACTTTGAACTCGTAAGTGGCTTCGGTGAGCTCATGATGGATGGCTTCGGCAGTAGTGGCAAGTGATGCCGACATGGTGGATTCCAGGACATGCATGAGCTTCTTGCGAAGATGTGAGGTACCTACAGTCACTTCACTGGCAGGGCCAAAGCTCTCTGGGTGGGAAGAGAAGTAAGCCTTCTCATTGCGGGTAATGGCAGATGTTATGTTGGCGTTGCCACGAGAGAAGAGAGAGCTTGAATGCTGAGGTACTCGACAGACAACACCAACGTAACCAAGTCTGAGAGGGTAGTTCTTATCAGTTAGCATTTGATGGCCTCTCAGTGGGTCCACCAGATCCATTTTGGTGATGACACCGATGGTGCGCTCACCACGAGGGTCGACACGACGACTGGCGCGAAGAGCGGTTGAGTTGGCGAGATCGACGTCTGCAGCAGAGATAGCCAAAATGACGTTAGGTGCCTGAATGTACTTGTCGCAAAGGGCAGCAATCTTCTCCTTAAGTTGAGTGGGCTGGTCGAAACCAGTCACCTGAATGTAGCCGGGCAAGTCAATCAAAGAAAGGTCAGGGACATTGGGGGAGTAGATGCGCAGCTGGATAGGATCGTCGGACACGCACTCGGTCTCTGGTACGGCCAGGTTGAGGTCGGTCAGAGTGCGCTGGATCTGAGCAAAGTCGGTGACCTTGCCCAGACCCAGAGCTGGAAACTCGCCGTACTCGGCGTGAGCTCCAGGAGTGTTTACCAGCGTCAGCTCGATGGGGCGACGAGTGACCATGTTGGAGCCTTTAGGCAAGAATTCGTGGCCAACAATGGCTTCAAGGACTGAACTTTTCCCTGATGACTGCGAGCCAACGACAACGATCGATGGCAATGTGAGAGTCTCTGACTGGCCGACTGTCTGAAGCAAACTTCTGATCTCGATCATCTTGCGTGTGAGGAGCATCATCTGGTCGTCGCGAGCAGCAGCTTCATCAGATCTGTCGTCTTGCTCTTCGTCGTTCAGAGCGAAAGCAGCGGCCGTGGCAGCGCCCGCAGCACCTGCTCCCACACGAGCTTCCCTGGGCTCCGGACCGTTTCCTCCAGGACCTCCATCGCCTCCAGGGCCAGAAGACTCCTGTTGTGGGAATAGCTCTTGCAGGTCTCTCTTGGTCTTCTCCCAGCCAGCCTTTGTTTGGGCGAAGATGCCGCCTGCACCTTCGAAGATGGAACGAGCTCCAGTGGTGGTTGCGTCTGATGCTTTGGTGAACAAGTCGATTGCGTAGTTACCAGCCTCTGTTTTGGAGTCAGCATTGGTGTGCAGAATAGAGCGAGAACAACTGACGAGTGGCTTGATATTGGATATATGCCAGACTACCGACAGCAGTTGCACCGAGGATGGCGGGCAGGCGGATAAGCTTGAAGGCCAGCTTGGGTATTGCGCGAGCGAATGAAGCATGTCGTACGACAGCCGTGTTGGGTCCAGAGGACAGAGGACGACTTCTCGGGATGCTGTTTCGAGTGATCAGACCTCCTGCGCGCTGTTGGGCGGTGTGATAGGGAGATCTCAGGCCAAGGGGGGAGCTATGTCGAGCAAGCGTCGCATAGCGCGACGACAGCAGCCTCCCGCTCATTGTCACTGCATCTATCGGAGAGCTTCGAGAAATTCGACACGAGAAGATTCGCAAGGCTGCAGCAAGTTTGGTCAGCGTTGGTGCTTGTCGCCCTCCAGCCTCGGTGACGTTGTTTCAGACTCGCTCACCGCCTTCCAAGTTCGGCCGAGGTCAGTAGCCACGATGCTCTACAAGCCACAAGTTCAATTGTGCACCAGCCACAAGTGCTGTCTCAGTTGGTAGGATTGACCTGTTCCGTGTTGCCGCTCCTTCCATTCGGCAGTTCATCCGTCGTGCATCATGACCCTTCATCTAACAAACAAAGATGAATCTCTGATCGCCATTCCTTGATGCGGCTACATACCTTCGTGCTATAACTGTCCACATATATCATGACTGGTGCCGGTGCGGCTCAAAATCGACGGCCTCCACGCCTCAACCACAAAAAGTCCCGCGCTGGTTGTCAGCGATGTAAGGCCCGTCGAGTCAAGGTGAGTCGCGTCCCTTGCTTTTTTTTCTCTCTCGCAAAACATCGAACCTTGCCTCAGTACCTGTTGCCAGCCCTTGATTCCACGACCAGTCTTTCTGACATGCTGCCCAGTGTGATGAGGTGAAGCCTGCTTGTGGAGGATGTAATCGTCATAATGTGCCATGCGTCTATCTCAAAACTGAAGCCTCCAAGACGGCGAGTGCTGAGAATTCGCTGTCACCTCACGCAACCATATCTCCAGATCAGCCTCAGCCAAAAGTCGCTATCAGCCAGGTCCTAACTCCGCCAACCAACAACGACCCTGTCACAGCTGATGACATTCTGGACCTACCAGAGTCACGTCAGCGACGCTTGCTCGAGTTGCGCCTATGGCACAACTACGTGACTGTTCTAGCCACTCCATTCCACGCCGCCGCTCCAAAAACCGTTCTGATTGAGATCTGGAACAATCACTTACCTCACATTGCTATGCGTCATGACAATTTGCTCTACACCATTTACGCCTTCTCGGCCACAAATCTATTGCGCGACTCACCCGACGACATGGAACTGCTTACTGCACAAAGGGTCTATCTCAGTCTAGCTCTTCGTGAGCAGCGCAAAGCTGTCATTCAGTTTTACACTCAAGCTGAGGAAGCCGACTCTCTCTGCTTCACCTCCATCATGATGACCATGAATGCTTTCGGTGCCCTGCAGGAGCGTAATCGAAACCCCTACAAGCCACCTACAGATATGTTGCGCTTAGGCATAGGCGCATGTGCCGTCTACGAAGAAGCTCTGAAAGGTGCTCGCAGGTTTCCTTCATCCAAAATCGTCACTTTCGTCGAGAATCAGCCCTTCTACGTCAGCATACCCAGAATGTTCGATGAGGAGCATCGAGGGCCTTTCCTAGGTATTCTGGGCCCCAAAAACGCACAAGGTGTCTACGAAGATTCCGAACTCTGGAATTTAGAGGCCAGAGAAGCTTACGAGTGTACTCTGAGTTACATTGGCACCATGTACACAGCCGTCTTGGATGGCGAATCGCTGCACCAGATGTGCACCCGAATCGCCGCTTTTGCGCTGTATGTGCCCAAGAAGTTTGTGGACATGGTCGAAGAATTACGCCCAAGGGCTTTGGTCATCTTGGCACATTTCTTCTCAATTGCTACCAAGGGAAGTGCTCATTGGTGGGTCGGTCAAACACCCATGCGAGAAGTCCAGGGATTGAGAAGGATTGTGCCCCAGGAATGGCAACGACATATGCGATGGCCACTTGTCATGTCCGGCCTGGAGCCTGTTTGAGTTTGCATCTCATCGCTCGTTCGACTCACGACCAAGCCTAAGCATATCACAAATGTGACACACCTAGTGTACCATGAAACTGCCAAAGACACTATCATGAGACGCGAGATTCGCTCCGCTCAAGCAGGACACATGGATAAGGACAAACACTCCTCGAACGAAGATACGGCCTTTGAGATGCTGCATGTGCGCAATCTCCAGACCTAACAAACTTCACTCCCTCGAGTCGTCCCGTGTGAGTCACATATCCAAAACGCCTTACAGCCAGATGAAGAGGGAAACATCCTCCGCGTCTGAAGTTTCCACTTAACCAATTATCTATGAATCTGGCTTCATGAGGGACACTTCATCAGTCACGCAGTGTACACTTTACTGCACCTTACTTTGGTTCACAGTGGCCATCAAGCGGACTATACACTTGGCACCTTTCAATGAGCAAAGGCGACGATAATGTCAAGTATTTCATGATAATTCTGTCTTGGCGGTCACTTTGATACCGGATGATCAATGTAAGATCACTTTCAATCGAGGCTCATTCTAGTCTCAACACTCTGACAGCGTTTCCACCCATCACATCATCTCTACTCTTGATGTCAGATTCGAACACTCCACTCACAGCCGCCGAATTCGTTTTGACAGAAAGCCACTCGTTTTCCTCGTCCTCAAGCGGAGGGAAAAATGGATGATCGGTTCCAAACATCAATCTGTCTTTCCCACTGGCTTCTATCGCAGCCTTGAGTCCAGCCTCGCCGTATACCACAGCATCGAGATAGATGTTCTTCTTCAGGATATCCCAGATTGATCTCCTTCCTTTAATCTTGTTTGCTTGCTTCAAATGGCCGTCATGGGCAATACACGACTCAATCCTGCCAGCGAGGAAGGGCAAAGTGCCCCCAGAGTGTGCAAGCAACATCTCCAAACCAGGGTAGCGATCAAAGACGCCAGAAAGAATGGCTCGAGTAATTGCGATTGTGGTTTCCAGAGGAAAGCCCAAGGCCAAAGGCAGGACGTGTCCGTACTCTGCCGCTCTGTCGCCATACACAGAGGCAGGAAGTCCGTAATGAGGATGCAAGAAAATAAGTTGTCTGGTTTCTTGCAAAGCCGCCCAGATGGGTTCAAGAGCTGGGTCATCCAATCCATTTCCCAGTCCGGAGGTTCCAATAATGACGCCGCGGAAGTGATCGAGTGTGGTCAAACGCTTGATCTCTGCAACTACTGCATCGGCACCTGCACTTAGCGGTAAAGTACCAAATGCATACAAGCGACCTGGATGGCGCGAACAGACTTCTTCGACATCATCGTTGATCTGCACAGCAACAGAGGCAGCCTCGGAAGCATCACACCAATCTAACCATGGATTGGCAAGAGAAATGACACTAATGTCGATGTGGTGTTTGTCCATGAACTTGATCTTCTCTTCCTCTTCATAGTATTCGGGGCCGATGGGGCGACCGCGCGCGGTAGTTGTTGCTGCATCTTCGCTGGGTAGAATCACGAGTCTTTCTCCGGCTGAGGGGTTGTCGGAGAAGGTGCGCATGTATGGTACGGCGGTGCGTGAGCGAAGCAGCGATACGTATGCCGGAGGGTAGATGTGTGTATGGACATCGACAACAGGTGCCATTCTTGCGACAGCTTGTTGCTAGTTGAGGTTTTGACGCAGTTGATCGGAGGTCAGGTGCGAAGTGCTGAAATGCCCTGAAGGAAAGACGTCGCAGGAAACAGGCTGATCGCCAGACCTACCTATGTCACGCCATTATTGCTAAGACGAACAGCTGGTCTTTGTGCCTCGATCAAGTTTAACAAAACACAACGATAGGGGAAGGTTGCGATAAGAAAGACAGGATAAGAAGGTGTAACCCACCCCGCACTTCCAACCCCACCATGGCGGAGCTGAGCTTCGCCTATCATGCATGAGATAGATAAGAGCTCTCGGGTGAGGCCGAATAGAATAATGATAAGAAAGTATCTTTAGAGGGAAGGGAGAGCATAAATACTGCATGTGCTTCTTTTGGAGTTTTCGTTAGTCATTCTCCAAAGACATCTTATACAACCTCGAATCATGAGCACTCCTACAGTTACCACAGCGGTCGGTGCCGATGAACTTACCATTCCCGTATGCGTGCCCACCATACTGCGGATGAGCTCTTGCTGACGTTACCAGCTCATCGACTTCTCAGCCTTCCAAACTACAGATCTCTCAATTCGTGAAGCCACTGCCAAAGCCATCTTGTCAGGCTTCCAGACCGCCGGCTTCATCTACATCCGCAATCATGGAATTGATAAAGCTGCGGTAGAAGAAGCTTTCAAATACAGCGCAGAGTTTTTCAAGAGACCAGTTAGCCAAAAGGAGCAGCTTGCCTGGACGACTCCAGAAGCAAACCGCGGTTATGTCCGTCAAGGACGCGAAAAGACAACTGACCTTGTTGATCCTGTCGAAATCGAAAAGCAACGAGCTCTCGAAGGAGCAGACCTGAAAGAATCCCTCGAAATCGGCCGTGAGGGAGTCGAAGGCTTGGAAAACAAATGGCCCGATCGCTTCGACGACGATGGAAAAGTGTTCAGAGAGAAAATGCTGAGCTTCTTTGAAGTCTGCAAGGATCTGCACGTGCAAGTTATGCAAGCTATTGCTGTTGGTCTTGGTATCGACGAGCACTGGTTTGACAAATTCTGTAATGCGGGCGATAACACTTTGAGACTGTTGCACTACCCGGCAGTAAGCAGCAAAGTGTTTGCGGACAACAAGAATAGTGTTAGAGCAGGAGCACACACCGATTATGGTCAGTAATCTCCCCAACCCATCCGGGACTAACTAATAGAACCAGGCTCCATCACCCTCCTCTTCCAAGACTCCCGCGGCGGACTCCAAGTCCTCTCTCCAAAGGGAACCTACGTAAACGCGACCCCCATCCCCGACACCATCGTTGTTAACGCCGGAGACTTGCTAGCCAGATGGAGCAACGACACCATCAAAAGCACAAAGCATCGTGTTGTGGAGCCGCCAGTTAAAGCAGATGCAGACTTCCATCCTGCAAGATACTCCATGGCTTACTTCTGCAACCCTAACTTTGATAGATTTATTGATGCTATTCCGGGGACGTTCGATGAGGCGAAGCAGAAGAAGTATCAGGGTGTGAATAGTGGGGATTATTTGGTGCAGAGATTGACGGCGACTTATTGAGTTCGAAGGGTGGATAATATATTCCATTCAATAGTGGCACTCTGTCCCTGGTCATCATTAAACCTCTCATGGTGCCTATTGCGTAAGGGGAAAAAGCACCCATGTTGGAAACAACCATGCTTTGAACAACCCAAGCTAACAGATTATCATGATTGCCAATGTATCTGTGAGATTCTAGCCTGTAAGATTCTCTAAAGTGCTGTCCATCCTTGATCAACAGGCAGACAAACACCGTTGATAGAAGCAGCCGCATGAGAACAAAGGAACGCCACAGCCGCTGCTACATTCTTGAGAGGCGAAGGTCCCTGAGCCGTAGCCATCGCTTTATCTTTGACAACTGCCATGCCTTCCTGGTTGTACCCCGCAGCAAAAGCAGTCCCAATATTCGTCTCCATCCCGCCAGGCAGAACAGCATTACATCGAATACCTTTACTACCATAGAAAACAGCAGTATTCTTCGTGAGACCCACAACAGCATGCTTTGAGGCAGTATAAGCGACACCTACACAACAAGTCAGCTTTGTCAAGCCAAAAGTTCCAATATCCCAACATACCTGCTGCGAATCCACGTATTCCCCCAATGGAAGCAATGTTAATAATACATCCTGCAATATTCTTGTCCATCATATGCTGTACAGCAACCTTGGAGATCATAATCGGCGCCGTAAGATTGACAGCAATAACCTTCTCATAAAGCTGCATATCCAGTGTGCCTACAGGATCCATCTTATCCATAATGCCCGCATTGTTAACCACAAAATCTACCTTTCCGAATTGTTGGATCGAGTCTTCGAAGAGCTTTGTAACTTGGCTTTGTTTGGAGATGTCACAATGCAAGGCCAGGATTTTGTTGGATGAAGAGTGCGAGTCTCGAAATTTTTGGAGGGTCGAGGGGTTGATGTCGCAGACGACTACATTGCAGCCTGCTGTGAGTAGTGCGTCGGAGATGGCTAGGCCGAGACCTCCACAGCCTCCTGTGACTAATGCTGTCTTGCCGTGCATATGATCTTGCGAACCGCGAGTGTCGGAGAAACTTCTGGTTGTTGTGTAATACCGAAAGATGTTTCTTGTTTGAATATTGCTAAGACAAGACTTGAATGCAAGCTTAGGGATGCTGCGAGATGGACGGAGGAGATATAGTGATAAGCGTTCCATTCTGGTACCTGTACCTGTCAAAATGTGGCTGGGTTTTCAGGAACACGGTTTAGGTCTGTCATGACTATTTTGACTGATCTCGGAAATAAACACCGTGGAAGTTCATAATACCGGCTCGTTTACACCAAGGTCAGTACGTGGGGGATGTGGGGTTTAGGTTTATCCTTCGGGATTGGGACCGAGACCTCGGTCGAATTCCGTCATGCCCTTGCATGGGAATTCAGCGCAACATCAGCATTACACGATCAAGGTCATTTCAGTCTCTTGTTTTTTATGAATAGGTTTTCTGAGATCTTGCAGATTGGTTGAGCGTGTCTTCTTGCGCGGTCACGTTGTAAATCTCCCTCGGTGCTGATCCAGGGGGATGTAGTCATAGCATATCTAATGGTTAGGTAGAGGATATTTACTTATTTAGGTTAAGGTGCAAGCTTAACGTTGCGGACTGCAGAGCCATATGCACATATGAAATAGCTGTCGACGAAGTTATGACCAGAGGACGGGTCTTGAAGAATAGAGCCGAGAACTTTGAGATCCAGCCGATAGGTTTTATTATACCCCGAAGAATAAAGAGACGACAGGTTGTTCGCCATTGCCTCCTCGAAGCAGCTGTCGTGAGTGCATTTAAGCCACCTTATGTGTACACAATGGCATTGAGAGCCGACTCGTGAGTACCCGAGACTCGGGCCTTCCATTCAGGCCACTTGACAAGTGTCTCGTTCATAATGTCTGTACCCCAGAGCCATCTTTGAGTCTCCCTGTCAGCCCAAAGGTCTGGATTGTGACCTTTGCCTTTACCAGCCGCACGGATCTTGTCATCACGTTCTTGTTGCTCGGGACCGTCGGGCAAGTGTAATGCTTTGCGAACTTCTGAGGCCGATGATTGGACAGCTTCGCCACGAGCCTTGCGGACCTGTTCATAGACCTCAATTGCAAGTGTGACATCCGTTGAAGACTTGTTGAGTACGGTCTGCAAGACACCAGCATCTTCAATGGCTTGAGCTGCTCCTTGGGCCACATAGCTGTAGAGTTCAGTCAGTGATCTGTACGAAGATCAAGACATCGAGGTAACTTACGGAAGCATTGGGTGACAAGCATCACCAATGAGGACCACCTTGTTTTCGTGCCATGCAGGAAGAGGTCGATGTGAGTTGAGCGTCCACTCCATGACTTCATCTTCATGAACATAGGACAACAATCTCTGGACCGTCGAGTTCCACTCTTTGTAGAATTCCATCATTTCTTTCTTGCTGCCCTTGCGAGTCCAGCTTTCTCCTTCCTCGTGATCCACGTCTTTGTGCTCAGGGTGAAGTAAGACCATGTTGTAGACTGTGTTGTTCTTGATGGGGTAGGCCATGATGTGTCCTCCAGGTCCCATCCAACGCATACCCACATTCTGTGACAGCAGCTCCAGGGCTTCAGGATCGTGTTCCATACGTTCCTTCTCGATCAAGATTCGATACGCTGCATCGCCAGTGGGTGTAGAATGGTCCTTGTGCTTGTGGAAAGCGGCAATTTGGCGGCGGAGATCGGACTTGATACCATCGGCAGCAACGACAAGATCACCCTCAATCCAGGAGCCGTCCTTGAGCTGAACTCGAGCTTCAAAGTTATCATCGCACTTGACAACTTTTGAGTTTGTACGGATATCGCATCCTTGCTCTTGCGCAAATTTCAGAAGAGTGACCTGAAGATCACCTCTGTGAATGACTCCAAGAGGCGCCTTGTATAGCTCAGCGACCTGTTGCAATCAGCAGATGAGACTTTTCTCAGACATGGAGCCATGTCGCATACACCTGGCATGAGCGGAGCTGTACCCAACTCATCATTGTCTTTCCAACGTCGCAAGGAGTTTCTCTGAAGTAGGTTGGTTTTTTCCATCAATTGAGGCAGACAGCCAAATCGGCCTAGGATTCTTGTGTTGTTGGGAGCAAGCTGAATACCAGCACCGACTTCAGCAATTTCCTTGACCTGCTCGAGGACGATGGGAGTGTGGCCACTTTGCTTCAGACCTGCAAAACCGATCAGCAAACCCATCGATGGACATGATGCATGAATCTCTACCAATTGCTGTGGTTAGTCCAGCAATTCCAGCACCGACGATGATGACTCGCAGCTTCTTCTCGGGTTGCTGTGCCTCCCAATCATCTTTGTAGTATTGCATTGTGCTTGGAGTTCGCGTTGGAGAGGTGTGAAAAGTAGAGACAAGTTCTTTGGCTGATACGTGCGATCGTGAGTCAGATTCAGAAGGAACACCTATATATGCAGATGCGTGTCTGGCTATGACAGAATGACCGCATACATACTGTTCGGCAAGAGGAAGCTGTGTTTGCGGTATGACGACACTCTTGTTTGGGGTACCTGGCCGAGTAATCCGGGCCGAGGGGGGCTTCCATCGTACAGAATTGCCGTGAAGTATAAATCCAGTGCCGATTACAAAAATCTCTGTTGGGTTTGTTTAAACACAGAGACTCGTTTCGACTCTACCAGAGTAGCAACTGATCTTATTATTTAAGAGCAAGGTGCTGACGACAGTAGAAGAAAATGTTCGTCACATGTTGCATTCGCATTCGATTGCAACACTGGTTGCGGAGAAGCAGTCCGTATCTATGTTGATGACTGATGGTGACAGATGCCAGCCGTGCTGATCATAGATAATTAACATAGCTCCTTCCCAACGCCTTCACGACGTCGTTGCTTAGAATTGGACTACTCCAAATTGTGAATTTGCAGTGACACAAGCAGTTCAGAAAGCTTTGCAAATGCAATGCCAAGGCTGACTTCCCTGATGTTGATAAGTGTCGAAGTGGTTCTCTAGTCTTTCCTTCCTCCCTGTATACGAAAGTCTCCGTACTCCGCTTGCGGTAATAAGCAAGATCCATGTTATAATAAGGCACAGTCGTTTTAGAAAGCAGAAGCATGTGAATGGAGAGTCGATAACTTGCTGCCGCTTAGTAGATACCATCTTGTTTCCTGTTACCATTATGCATTTCTATAGCTATGAGGGTTACATGCTTGAGTATACGTGGAGGTTGCTTCCGCCAACGTGTCAAGTAAGTGCAAGGATATACGTTGATTTATTCTACATTATATCCTTAAAGCCTCAAAGTATGGAGCACTGGTAAAACAAGCTGCTGGTTACGTTCGTAGTTTCACTGCCAATCAGATCATATGATATGTCTTCTGATGCCCTTCTCCACCTCTTGCGTCCCTTTCGCATTCTCTGACATATAATCTCTCCCAGCGCCATGCTCTTTGAATTTCTTGTCCGTGCATCTTAAATCGAGCTCTGCCGATTACTTTCACAAGATTTTTGTATCATCTAGAGATCTCCAACCGCAACACCTTACGCCTGGATATCGACTTCAATTCCTGGGAAGTTCTTGGAAATGTGGGACAATCACGAGGGATCCTGGTAGTACAGATTGGGAGACTTTATCTTGCCACCATCCACTGTCATACCAAGTTCAAGCAGTTAGAGCTATTCGTCGAAGAACAATCGGTAGGTTGCGGCATTCGATTGCGAAATGTTCTTTTCCAATGTATAGCTTAAATCTGACAGGATTTGGAAGAAAATATGAAGCGTCATACTGCCAGCCACGAGGTTGTCACTCAGTCTGAATTTTTCGAGGTCGAGCAAGTTCTGGCGATGAAGCAAGGAGAACAACACCCCGTGATCCAGAGTGTGGACAAGTATAAGGGAGAAATTCGTCTTCTCCGTGTGGATCTCTTCAAGGAACAGCCTGCTCACGCCACGCAAGCAGATTGAGCGTCAGACTCGTCCAAGGATGTCCTTCTCGTGGTCAACCAATTGACAGCAAGGCTTCCCAACTCCGGCTCAGTGATCACAGCAATTTAGAATCGACGCCTTAAGCCGTTCAGACTGATCCTTCAACCCAACTTCTCTTGCGCGGTACTGCTCAACAGATCCAGGATGACGGCCTGTCTTCCTTTCTGTCCACGAGAGCCCATCATGGAGGTCTATTATGTACAATCGCTCATCGACTTCCCAATCTCATCGAAGAGACCATCTCACTTGCTGACGCCACTGCTACATGAGTACACACTGTTATCCACTCGAACATTCGTTGCCTCGTTCGTCCTCGATGCGATGATGAATCACTGTCTATACTTTTCGACCGCATGTAGTCAGCGCCCACAAGCAGTCGCACCCTCAATCATGGAATGGCTGCACCAGCAAGGTTCCTTTTCTTGCTTTTGAGGGATTCTAGAACGATTGATTTCGCATTCCACTTACACAAACACAATCAAGGCATCGAGGTGCTCGACAATAAAACTGACAAGAAAAGAAGCGCACAGAACAACAATGATATTGCAAGTCCTTTAGCATCACAGAGACGATCAAAATACCGTGGGAGGATTGTGGTTTTGGCTTATGCATTGAGGCACAGACTGTGAGGCCTAAGGGACGGTTTTCGCACATCATAGTATCAGTGCATGCATCAAGCAAGCCCCGCGGATGCCTCAAGTTCTCCATTAGAAGGGGTTCGCAGGTAGTCTAGTATGTTGGAGAGCAAATAATTATGGAGGAAACCAACCACAACTTCATCAGGGAAAAGGAGAATCCCTTTTAGAAGGCGGACGGGCAAGTATAGTCGAGTAATCAATGACTTGAAACAAAATGTTGTCGCATGACTGAACCTGGAAGTGATATACAGAGTACATGGCTGAATGTACCTGCATGATGCTTGTCAAAGGAGGATTCTGGGGCAACGCTTTTCATTGGCAACGGTCGAGAGGGCCATCGACCATCCTTCAGTCAAACGGTCTCAGCCGCACTGAGAGAGGCGATAATCACATTTTTCCCCACGCTCATGAGGTCGTTTGCTTATACAGTATCGGCATATTACGAGTCGTACAAAGTAGGGCGACCTCCAAATTATCAAGATAGCAGAATCTGAATTTTGGATGAGGCGACCTCTCCTTCCTCCAGAAACGGTCTAGTTGTACCGAAGCTATCGAACAGTCCGATATATGCAATCCTTCAAGACTACCCAAGCTGGAATGTCGCTCTCAGAGTCTCAGCTTGTAGAGATGAGCGCTGCAACGAACACTAACGGTTCTTCAACAGACTCCACGAGATCATCCAAAAGATCACCTGTTAAGAATGAGACATGTAAAAAAAGCATTCTGCAGATTGCTTACTTCCCTTACCAGTCCGAATTGGCATCCCTGCATGGGGCTGCGATCATCCCTACACACAAGGCCTGAACGAGGGATGGTCGATCCCACCAGTATTGGTTTCTAGATAAGAGCATCGGTATTCCTAGTCAGCCATATCCAGATCTCTCCCGTCATCTCTCTCAGTTGTCTCCCTTGCTGCGACCGACTCTTTTTTATCCTCCCCAAGCACGTGCAATGGGTCAATCAAAAGAAGTGTTAGACGACAACAAGGCTGAAGATGGTTACAAACTACTAGACCTGGAGAAGCTCGAATGCAGAAATGATTATCTCGATGACCAAAAAAGTAAAATCACATCAGCATCACCACACTCATCCATATCGCGCCGCGTTAGCATCACTTCCGTGCTCAAAGACGGACTCCCACGACTGTTCATTCTATCAAAGTCCTGGAAACAGGTGCTATTCTTCTTGTTGCCAACATTTATCCAATCACGTTACCTACCTCGCCGGATTGCACAGAAACGACCTTTGCATCCGACAGCATGGTTAGATGGCATGCGAGGAATTGCAGCTTTCTGTGTCTTCATTGACCATTTATCATACTCCAACCACGACACGTACACAGCATACAGCTATGAATCATCCAACTATGAATGGTTCAAGTTGCCCTTCCTTCGATTTCTATACACGGGAGCTTCCCAAGTCGCCATATTCTTCGTCGTGTCGGGATACGCATTGAGTTACAAACCAGTCAAACAAATGAGAAACAAGGAAAGAGATGGACTACTCACGACACTATCTTCCTCGGTGTTCAGAAGAGCTATAAGACTATATCTGCCGTGCGTCGCTTCAACTCTCCTAGTCATCTTATGGGTCAGATTAGGATTATACGAGATGACCAGGGACTTTGCCTCTAACGATAAACTCTTGACTGGAAGGAGAGAACACCATCCCTGGAGATATGAGACTTTGTGGAAACAGTTGAGTGTTTGGGCTGTCAAGATGTGGAGCTTTTTCAATCCGTTCGACTTCAATATGAAGATTGGCGACGGAGCATTGGATATCGATGGACACCTTTGGACTATACCTGTTGAGTTTGTGAGTTCTTCACCGTCTCTGCTTTGACTCCTCTCTCCCCAGGGATTTCCCTTTTATACATCATGTCTTCCATACAACGTTTTTCTGTTTGAAACAGACATAGCAGATTGCTGATGTGACATTAAGAGAGCATCACTGGTCCTATACCTCTCACAACTTGGTTTATCTCGTCTGAAACCCACCCTCAGGATCTCTATCCTCGTCGGATTGATCCTCTATGTTCACCAAATTAACCGCTGGGAACTTCTTCTCTTCTACTCTGGTTTCTTGCTCTGCGAGTTGGATTTTCGACGACGCTCGCTTGCCCCCACCACCACGACTTCGATCTCACCTATCTCTCCGTCATCCTCTGCTTTCTCGACGACCACTGAACCTTCGAGGATTTGGTCAACGATTTATTACATGACATTCGTCTTAGGGTTGTACCTTGGCTCGCAACCAGCACGAGACCTGGAACACGCACCTGGGTGGCGGTCGCTCTCCACCATGATCCCCAGCCATATCAATCCGCGCGACCGCTACTTCCCAAACCTCGGCGCGATTCTCCTGATCTGGTCAACCTCTTGCTACCAACCTCTGCAATCCATTTTCTCGCACCCGGTAATTCAGTACCTGGGTAAGATTTCTTATCCTTTGTACTTGATGCATGGAGCCGTAATTCACACAGTGGGTTATGGCATCATGGAGCTCATGTGGGGCAGCTTAGGACGGGGTACTGTTTTCAAGAAAGAAATTGGATTTGGAATTGCGGCTATTTGGGTTGTGATCTTTGTTGTTTGGATGGCAGATATATTCATGAGGGTTGTGGACACGCCGACTGTGAAGTTCGCAAAGTGGTTGGAGGAGAAATGTACCATGGAAACTTGAATTACTTAAGGCGTAGTTCGTATCACGTTTCGACAAACACGACAAGAAGCTCAACAGCCATCGATATAACAGCCGTGGATAGAAGAAAGTTGATGGTCTTCTCTTTACTCACTAACCCTACCCCAACAATCTCAATGCCTTGGCTGCGGGGTAAGGAAGGACCTTGTTCCGATATTCTTGTCTGAGAACGTTGAGACCAAATCTGTGTCCAGCAGTTGATCAACATGATATATTCTGCTTATGTCCGCTTTGCAAATATAACTCACCAAGGCCCATAGCCATGTGACGATTGGTGGTGGAATAGGTGAAGGTTGTGCATCGTAGATGATCACCCCAACGGCCAAGACGCGGCGTCAACATCCTCCACCGCGGCCCTCCACTATCTATCAGCAGCGCTATGTTGGCCGGCGGCCAAAGGTACGGGCAGCGCAATGATAAGCATCTACTGTGCCGACAGTCATTAGACATGTATCATATCTGCAAGCTTGGGGATGCGACATCTTAAATCACCTACCTTTCTTTCATCGTTCAACTGTCATGCCGGAAGCTATCCCCCGAAGAGGTCTTCGCATCTCCATCGGTATGATCATCATTGCTTACTACTAAGTCATAGGCTAATTTCACGCAAGACCGTGGTGGTACCTTTACCGACTGTGTCTGTAAGGTACCAGATGGCAAGGATATTGTTATCAAAATTCTCTCCGTCGACCCGTCGAATTATGATGATGCGCCGACGGAAGCCATCAGAAGAGTGCTCGAAATCTACACCGGAACCAAGATTTCTCGAAAAGGGGCTGTAGATCTTAGTCCGATCGGTATTAAGCTTGCTCCTCACTCATAACGACAATTGTAAACATAACATCGTGCTGATATTCACGACAGAGTGGGTGCGAATGGGTACAACTGTCGCCACTAATGCTTTGCTAGAGAGAAAGGGCGAGAAGACGGCACTATTGATCACCAAAGGATTTAAAGACCTCTTGACCATCGGTAATCAATCTCGCCCTTCTATGTTCAGTCTTGCCATAGATCGTCCTAGCTCCCTCTTCTGCTGCGTTGAAGAAATATCTGAGCGTGTCGTTGTAGATTCGTGCCCAGAGTCTCACCTTGGAGGCAAGAAGTTCGAGAGTCCTCGCTCACTCAAGACTGTCAGCACTGCTTCTGGCGAGAGCGTAGATATCATCTCACCTCTTGACATTGACGAAGTAGAGAAGAGCTTGAAGAGGATCAAATCTGCTGGGATCTCATCCTTGGCCATCTGCCTCATGCACTCTTACATCTTCCCCGATCACGAGCTGAAGATCCGAGAGATCGCTGAGCGACTTGGTTTCGACAAGGTGTGCCTTTCGAGTTCAGTCTCATCCAGATCGAAAATTGTTCCAAGAGGCAATTCCACTGTCATCGATGCATATCTAACGCCTGTCATCAACCGCTATCTTTCACAATTCTCTGCCAGCTTCCCCGAATTAGAAGAGAGTGGCGTGCGTTTGGATTTCATGCAATCTGACGGCGGTCTAGTACCGAGCACAAGGCTCTCTGGGCTCAAAGCGATTCTCTCTGGACCCGCTGGTGGAGTCGTTGGCTATGCCAAAACCTGCTACGATCCAGAAGATGGCAAAGCGACGGTGGGATTCGATATGGGAGGCACCTCAACCGATGTCAGTCGATACTCTGGCCAGTTCGAACATCTGTTTGAATCCAACACTGCAGGTATTCTGGTTCAAGCGCCTCAACTTGACATTGATACCATTGCAGCTGGAGGCGGGAGTATTCTCGCATGGAAGGATGGTCTGTTCACTGTTGGTCCAGAGAGTGCTTCTTCGCATCCTGGACCTGCGTGTTACAGGAAGGGCGGCCCATTGACTGTCACTGATGCCAATCTGGCACTTGGAAGACTGGTTCCTGATCAATTTCCTTCTATATTCGGGCCCAATGAAAACGAACCGCTTGATGCTTATATAGTCGAAGAAAGGTTCATAATGTTGAGCAAAATCATCAACGAGGAATCTGGACAGTCTTTGACATGGAGAGAGGTGGCAGCTGGGTTCATCGAAGTTGCCAACAACGCCATGTCTGGGCCGATCCGCACGTTGACGGAAGCAAGAGGCTATGACACTACAGCTCACAATCTTGCCTCCTTCGGTGGTGCTGGGGGCCAGCATGCCTGCGAGATTGCCAGGATTCTTGGCATCAAGCGTGTGTTGATTCACAAGTATTCTTCGGTCTTGTCAGCCCACGGTATAGGACTTGCAGACATCGTGGAAGACGGTGAAGAGGCTTACCTCAGGCGCTATGATGCACAATCTGTGCATTCTCTCGAAGAGGATTTAGCACGTCTGGCAACAAAAACTGAAGACGCTATCATCTCAGACGGCTTCTACGGGCCGATCGAGTCCACCAATTATCTGAGCATGAGATACGACGGCAGTGACACCGTGATCGTTGTCCCTGTCGAGTCTGGGAAAGACACTTTGAAGACCTTCGTTGATACTCATCAGCAAGAATTTGGTTACACACCTGAGCGCGACGTTTTCATCGACCAGATCCGTGTTCGTTCCGTAGGGAAGAGCAATACCGAGTCCGGGGGCTCCTGGCCCAGGGAGCTAGCCTCATACAGTAAATTGGACACCACCAATGAGCCAGCCCTTTGGCGATCTGTCTTCTTCCCCTCCCGTGGCTATATTGAGGTCCCCATATACAAGCTCGGCACACTTACCGTTGGGTCGCGAGTGAGCGGTCCTTGCCTGATCGTTGATGAGACTCAGACGGTCGTTGTCATACCAGGTGCAGTAGCATCAATTTTGAAAAGTCTCATCGTGATTGACTTACCCGAACCCGAACGAAAAAACGTCAGTAGCTCAGTCATCGATCCTGTACAACTGTCTGTCTTCAAACATCGTTTCTTCGGCGTTGCTGAGCAGATGGGTCGAACGTTGCAGAAAGTCAGCATCAGCGCGAACATCAAAGAACGACTGGATTTCAGCTGCGCGATCTTCACAGCAGAAGGCGATCTCGTGGCAAATGCGCCTCACGTTCCGGCAATGATTGGCAGCATGGCCTTTGCTGTCAAATCACAAGTCAAACATTGGAGAGGAAGACTGAGTGATGGTGATGTCTTGTTGTCTAACTCACCTGTATTCGGAGGTGTACATCTACCAGACATGACAATCATTACTCCAGTATTCGACTCTGGTGGTAGCGAGATCATCTTCTGGGCTGCTTCCCGAGGACACCACGCAGATGTAAGTTGTGCCATGAGTGCGCAGGACGTTTTGTATCTGACACGTCTTGAATAGGTCGGCGGTATTGCACCAGGCTCAATGCCACCTTCATCTACGGAGCTCTGGGAAGAAGGAGCTGTTTTTTCTTCCTTCAGATTGATTCACCAAGGCAGGTTAGATGAAGAAGGTCTTCGTAAGATCTTACTTGATGACCCGGCTATGAACCCTGGCTGTAGCGGAAGTCGATGCTACAAAGACAATGTTGCAGATCTCAAAGCCCAAGTTGCCGCGAATCACTGTGGCATTCGACTCATCCGTCAAATGATTTCGGAGTATACAACAGAAGTCGTTCATGTAAGTCACCAATATCCACCTCTCGAAGCAAGTTGCTCATACCTTGCCAGATGTATATGACCGCCATTCAAGATGCGGCGGAGCTGTCTATTCGGAACCTCTTCAAGAAGATCGCTCAAGGCGAAAGTTCAAGAACTGTATCTGCCACTGATTACATGGATGATAGCACCGCTGTTGTCCTGAATGTGAAGATAAATGGCAAGAATGGTTCTGCAATCTTCGACTTCAGTGGCACTGGATCGGAAGTACTCGGTGATTACTAGGAGCAACGGACACATAGAGCCGAACCATCTCTAACACTTGTCTCAGGCAACTGGAACGCTCCCATCGCAATCACCACATCGGCTATCATCTATGCCCTTCGATGCATGGTCAACTCTGACATTCCCTTGAATCACGGATGCATCAAGCCTATTGATATCGTCATTCCCGAAGGATCATTCCTTAACCCCTCTGCTGGAGCTGCCGTCTGTGCGGGTAACGTTCTTACATCTCAGCGCATCGTCGATGTGATTTTCCGCGCATTTGAAACATGTGCAGCTAGTCAAGGCTGCATGAACAACTTCACTTTTGGTGTTGATGGCGAAGGAGGCTTCGGGTACTACGAAACCATCTGTGGTGGAAGTGGCGCCGGACCAACATGGCATGGCACAAGCGGCGTGCACACCAATATGACCAACACCCGCATCACCGATCCGGAATCGCTCGAACGCCGATATCCAGTTATCCTACGGGAGTTTTCGCTGCGCTCTGGAAGCGGAGGTCGTGGCGAGTTCAATGGCGGAGATGGTGTCATTCGAGACGTCGAGTTTCGAATTCCCATGACCGCCTCTATCCTGTCAGAGAGACGCGCCTTCCGACCCTACGGCTTGAAAGGTGGTGAAGATGGTGGACGAGGTGTCAACACCTGGATCCGCTCAGATGGTAGGCGCATCAATGTTGGTGGAAAGGGCTCGGCACAGGTGAATCCGGGTGATCGATTTGTCATTCAGAGTCCTGGAGGCGGTGCGTACGGCGCCATCAACGAAGGCCAGAGCACGCTCACGTCGTCGCTGGCTACCAGAATTATTGCACCAATCGCTGGGGGTAGTGTAAATCTTGCAAGGGCCCTTGGAGAACAAAATTAGACATGTATGTATAATCGTATGATCTCAATCATACCAGTACGGTGCTAGAGCTTGTATATTCTGCAGTCTACGGCTTGATCATCCTACTGATGTCTGCATTTCCCCAAGTTATATGATGTTATTACTATGAGAACATACGATCAAATAGCCAGATGATATTCCAGAATTGCTTTTTATTAGTCTCTTAACAAGAGTGGCCGATGAAAATAGCTTTGAGCAAACGCCGAACTCCCATTGTATCATGTTCTCAAACCCCATTGTACCGAGAACATCAAATTCTCATAGCCATCTGGGGGAATCCCGCTTCTCTGTAGAGCATGTCTGCAAGCTCTTCCGAGGTGAGCTCTCGAGAGAAATCAGGTTCAAATCGTGATTTTTTTGCAGAATCTTTGCGGATTTCATTGACATTGACGGATGGCTTCTCGCTGTAGAAGGACGTGGACTATGATGCAAGTCAATGTCCGAATGTGATCGACGTTGTCATAAGGCTTACATCTTGCTTGGTCGACACAACTTCTCGTTGTAGAAGTGGTTGGTATTCTGATTTTTGCGGTCTGATCGTTCGTGTGCACACTTCCTTGATAGATGAAATGGCTTGGTGGAGTTGGGTGTGTTTGTTTGATGTCGACATTATGTGTACCGGAAAACTTGACAAAATAAAATTCCAAGATGGGAGGTATTTCTGTATATAGGAGTAGCTGAATAGTCGTTTGTATTCTGGCTTTTCAGGACGAGTACTAAGGTCCTTAATATATGGTGGGTGGTCAGCCATCGGAATGGCGACGTCGGAATGAACGGAGTTGAGTACGGGATAAAATCTCAGACTCACAACAAGCGGAGTCGGACACGGAGTAAAACGCCAAAATCGCTCAGACTGTGTGGTCAATGTAAATCGCTCAGGCAAGGTGGTCACGTAAATCACTCAGACGGTTTCGCCAATTTATACTCCTCCGCCTACGTTTGTCCAATCAATTCCTTCCATCCAGTCATTCATGTCCATCAGTGCGGCTGCATCCCAGTCCGTGATCCCGTCGATGCCGGTGTCTACTTGCCATGCACCCGCCGCATTATCAAGTGATGCGGGATTCTGGATACCAATCGCAGAGCCGCCCACGAGCCCATCGCTTGATTGCTGCGCACCGTTGGCGAAGCCAGATAGGAGGTGTTCAAGCACACCATCCATCGCACGAGAGATGAGACCCGATGCCTTCAAGCAGATCGCATAATTCGCCTCTTCTGGACGATAAACAGTCTCCAATAGAGAGACAAATACATGAAGACGTCGAATTGATACAAGGCGAAGCAAGTCGGCGTACTCCGCACGGCTCATAGTGTCCCTTGCAGTCTTCAGAGCGTTGACGAGAGTTATCGCACTTGGTAAACCATAACATAAGACCTTGCTTATATCAGTAAATCGTATCACATCCAGAGTCCAACTTGACCTACAGTACTCGACTTGATGTTTCGGTGTTCATCATAGACCGTTTGACTACGTAAGCCACCAATTTCAAGACATAATTCGATCATGCTCGAGCAAGTCTGGACTAGAAGTAGTGAGCAGCTCGCATCGCCCTTCGCCAGTAAGCGGTGAATGTAAAACTGTGTCTGTAAGTAGGTAAGATAAACTTCTGCCAACATTAGGCACGTCATGTGGCCCAGATTAGACGTCCAACAAGCAGAGTCGTAGTGCAGACGTTTTGGTAAATTCTCCCAGGCTTTCGTGCATTCCTGTGATGTTTGCCTAAAAAGAGTCAGAATGACATGGCTCATTTCGATAGAACGGTTGAATGCCACTTACACAAGTCTCAGTCTTAGCTCATTATCAAGAGGTTTTAGATGGTGCAGAAGAGCTTCTTCCTTGAATTGCGAGAGGATGTGAATTGCTCTAGTGTAAGTTGTACTGCATGAAGAGTCTCCGGTAGCCCAACCGCCTGTAAGCTCGAAAGAAGCGTGTTCTTCGTCAGTAAGCCCACCTGAGCACAATTGATCATCAGTGAGTTCAAGTGGTAAGCGACAGTCAGCGTATGAGCTGAGGATCCGAGGCGGACGACCGAAAAGGGTGGCGAGGAATTTGTCCCATACAGATGCAGCCGCGAAGATCCTCCTCCGACATTCGGCAAGAAAGAAGGGAACGTTGGCAAGAGCAGCTTCTCGATGCGCCTCAAGAGTGAGCAAGTCTGTAGACAGATCGCCAAGCCGTCGCCAGACACTCGGACCTAACAAAGGGCAGATGAGTCTAAGAGAGAGGTCTGAAGGACAAAAGGCTTGTGAATGTTGTCTACATACCGGCATATCCCTGTGTACTTGTAGTGATCCGCAGGTTCTCGTACGATAACCATATTATGACATCGTTCATCTCACTCGCTAATTCTCGGGCCAGATGTACGCATCTTGCACTGCATAGAAACATGATCTGAACAAAATCGTGCACATCTATGTCGTTAGGGAAGAGTCCTACACGACATGCACGAGCAGCGAGGGTGAAGATCAAACCGATGGTTTCCACTCGTAGATTAGGTCCAGTATAGCAGCTTCGAAATAATTCCATAGAAGTTGTCGGAGTTATGTCGATCTTCGATCTTGTAGCACGCTCAATGCGCTCAGCCACTGGTAGAAGAGCAGCTCTACTAGCGGCGTCGTCAAGGGCTGTTCTAGGTTGCAGGATCTCTTCGTAGATGTGTTCAAGATCAGAGACGGCAGGCAGTACAAGATGCCGTGGTATTATAGCGACCTGACCCAGATCGTAATATTCCATGACAAGTTTTTTGATAGTTGCGCAGTACCGGAAGTGACTCAGAATGTGGACTATGGAGAGTAAGTCTCCTTCGATAGTTTTGTTACCGCGATCATCGCATACTGCAGCGTGATTCATGTGTCGTATGTTTGTGTCATCAAGACTTTGCAGTGATTGTAACGAGAGCACTCCGGAAGGTGTTTCGTCTGGGCCACGAACAGAGTGTGCGGGAGTGCTAGGGTCGTTGTTGCCGACAAGGTCATACACTCGATTACGACTGCTAATCGAAGCTTGAGCTACTGGAGTGTTCGATTGGCTCGTTTCTATCGCTTCTGCTTCGCGGTAGTTGGTGGTGGACGTGCGAACGCGTTTGTTTGGTCGAGTAAGTGGAGCTGGATGATAATAACATTCGGCCTCGATATTGCGACGACGGCAACGATCGCAGATAGGCATACGATGATCACATCGCATCTTACCCCTACGGCAAGGTTCGCAAGATGCTTGCTTACCGTTTTTTCGATTCGCACTCGCCGACATGATTGTCTGAGAGCTATCGGAATAAATGTTGAGAAACAAATGATGATTGATCAGTCAGTCCGTTGATGATTATGACCAGTGTGGGGAGGTGCTGCGAGAGCGACCCTGCTACCATGATTTCTAAGCAGTCTAGCTTAATAAGCAATCATCAAACCAGGTCACCTCACTTCCAACCATTCATTCTTCCATCAGAGTTGGCCGAAATTCATCTTCCAGCCAGCGCGTTCGTTATCTGAGATTCATCAGATCTGCTGGGTAACACAATGGCTTTCCCGACCACATCAAGGGCCTTCCGCCGCACATCTGATGGCAAGAGTATTGAGCTGATCTCCGAACCCGTGCCCCAAAAGTTGCAGCCAACACAAGTCCTTCTCAAGATCCTTGCTGTGTCACTGAACTTTCGGGATGTGGGTATGCTACACAATCGTTATCCGATTCCTGTCATTCCTCATGGAGTCCCCTGCTCGGATGCATCAGCCACCATCATCGCAGTGGGTTCTTCGGTCGCAGAATTCTCCCCAGGTGACTTTGTGGCTCCAACCTTCCGCGAGACGTGCTCAGGAGAGATCAAAGCGCTCGGAGGCGACGTCGATGGTGTGCTAAGAGAATACGCCATCTTCGACCAGTGCGACATCACAAGGATTCCGACCTACCTGGGCTATGAAGAGGCGTCAACTATTCCCTGTGCTGGTGTCACGGCATGGACAGCTCTGGACTTTGATAAGAAGAAACAAGGAAAAAGCGCCTTGATGCAAGGAACGGGCGGTGTAAGCATCTTCGCTACATTGCTTTGTGTTGCTGCTAGTATGGCCGCGATCATCACTTCTTCCTCCCATGAGAAGTTGAAGAAGTGTCAAGACTTGGGTCAAGGCGTGCAGGGAATTAACTATCGGATAAATCAAGACTGGGATCAAGAGACAAAGAAGTTGACGCAAGGAAAGGGTGTAGACGTTGTCATCAACAATGTTGGTGTCACCTCTATGGAGCAGTGCTTCAATGCTCTGGCGAGATATGGCACAATCTCACTGGTCGGATTCTTGGGCGGTGTCGATGAAGCAAAAATGCCAGATTGTTTCACTCCCGTCCTGATGAAAGCCGCAAAAGTACAGTAAGCAAATATATTCGCATATTTCAGAGAAAGACGCTAACCATTTACTGAAGGGGCATATTCGTCGGTACACGCGAAGATCAACAAGATCTTTGTGCGTTCCTAGAGGACAAAACAATCGACCTCAAGCCTTTGGTAGACAGAGTGTTCAAGTTTGAGGAGTCAGCCGATGCTTTTGAGTATCTGTACTCTGGTGCTCATACTGGCAAGGTTATCGTCAAAATCTGAACACTGCACGTGAGCTTCCAGGTAGCTTGTATAGCGCCCAGATTACCGGTCAATGCCATCTGTCTCCCGCGGTTTGACCATCAACTAACGAATGGTAATTGAAGATGCCCAGCATTGCGAGACCGCGCAAGCCATTGAGACATAAGCCATTCGAGCGTGTCTCTTGCTCGATTTTACCTGATGCCAATCTTGAGCCTGAACCTGAACCCTGGGCCTCAAGATCTGCCCCCTGGAGTTGAGATCTAAGTGGATTCCAACCAACCATAGTAATGAGCATTTTTCACAAGCTTGTCTGAATGTGAACGTACAGCCTGAGCCTGTTCAATGTAGATATTTCCAGTAAAGCTTACCTCTTGTTTATCCTCCTGCTGGCTGCACCTCTGTGAAAGGTTGTAGTACGACATGGCTGCCTGTACATACTGCATCGAGGTACTTGCCCTGAAGTCACTCGCGTGTCTTGAACGTTCCGCAGTTCCAAACGTGTCTTCGCTGTTCGTGAGTCTGGAAGCCACAAAAGACCAAGTCTGTTGGGTCCGTCAGGACCAACTGTCTTCTTCACATGTTCGCTGCCAAACACGGCACCTGTGAGTAGAAGTTTAGGCTAACAAGATCGAAGACCTCGGGCGTTAGCGACCTGGAGCCGGGGATGATCTATAATAATGACCCCACAACTGTCTGCCTTAGGGCTTGATACTTGTGGGGACCAGTCGCCGCACGGATGTGGGCGATCCGCTCCGAGTGCGGTGGAACCCGTCTAAGTGTGGGATGTAATCCGATGTGTTATTGAAGGTAACATGAAGGTAACTATCTAACTAGCTAAGTGGCAAAGGCAGAGATGTTAACCGAAGTGGTGCTAAGGCGCTAACGCCGAGGGGCTCCATTATCTTATAACTTTCTTAGTGTAGTACTTGCTACTATGCTAAAGCGATAATCGATTTTATCCTCTCCCTAACCCTTAACCTCTAGTAGTAAATCGTTAAACTTCTAGTTACTATAATAAGTTATTTTGTTAGTAGAAGATTATTAGAGTCGTAAGTTATAAATAAGTATGTCGGCATAGTAGTGTCGTAGATGTAAATAAGAAATTAATAGTATAAAGCTTTAAGTAAAACTAAGGTTTAGAAGACCTTTAAAATCAAAATGCTAGCTTGCTTATAAGGAGAGCTTTCCTAGTAACACATATGTTAAAAGATAACTAGTCGGAATAATATAGGATGGATATTATCTGTTGTCGATCTTATTAAGATCTAGTAGATAGAAGATTAGTTTAAGAGTAGAAGATAGTAATGTCCTCTTATTAAAAGGAGATCTAAACCTGTTTCTTAACTATAGTATTATAGCAAGAGAGCCTTTTAAGAAATGGATAGGAGGATGTTATCTATTCTTACTTATCATCTTTAATGCAAGGTTTCTTTTTCTAGATTAACGAACGTCCCTTATCCTTATTATTAGACTAGATATTAGGAAAGTAGTTACCATTCTTTTTCTTTAAAGTACGCTTTCTCTTAGTAGCAGGCTTTAAGGCCTTTAGAGCCTTAGGAGCCTTTATAGGTTTTGCAGGTTTAGTAGTAGATTTTAGCTTCTCGATAGACTTCGGTTTCGGAGTAGGTAGGGGATTAGACTCGGTAGTTACCTTAGGATGTTTACTATTCTTATTATTACCTAAGACGATTACCTTAGAGAGAGCGTTGTCCTAGGGCTCCGTAGGAGTTAGAGTGTCTAATATAGGTCTAGAGAGTCCCTTACTAACTATGTTTTCCTTACGACACTTATCTTTCTTAGGTAGCAGCTAGTATAGAAGGGTCTTACGTGTTTCGATAGGCTTAGTAAGATAATTAGGGAACGTTATACCTCTCTTCTCGGCAAAGGTAATTAAGCGGTTAATGCGCTTCCTCTACTATTCTTAAATGTCCTAACCTACCTCTACTTTATGCCTAAGAATTCCCTTATGCTTAGCGCTATTAATTCTCATTTAATTTCCCTATCGTTTAAGGAAGATAGCATAGTTAATAATGGCGGTAGTAGCAGATACTAATTATTAATACTGCTTTCCTATACGCTTTATTCCTAGGTGTTTAGCAGTAATGTTTCCTTTACGAATTGCGTATAGTAACGCGTATTTAGCGTTAAGAGGGTAAAGACTAGGTATATTAGGGTTGAAAACACTATTAGACGAAATAGGATTAATCCTCTTCTTAAAAGTCCTATCCTTATTACGTTTTTAGTTCTAGTTATGTCGGTAAGCCTTAGTAGAGCTATCGACCTTAGAATTCGCATCGATAAATTCGGCATAGTAACTAGTATTAGCCTTAAGGTATTCTAGTTTATCTTCGGTTATGCCGAGCTACTTTACGCTAAGCTGCTAAAGTAGTAAAGTAATTATTATATTTCCTTACTTAGTAAAGTAGCGTTTAAGGATAGCATTCTTCTATAGTTTGTTCTTTTATAGGCAGCCTTAATGTTTAGTAGCAGGATCCTTTATTAGACTTTTTAACTCCTTAATAGCTGCTGCCACCTCTTTAGAGACCTTTAGTATAGATTCCTTAGGGTCTACCGCATAGCCTTTCTTATTTAACTACACTATAACGATTTCTAAGTCGTTAAGGAGCACCTTATACCTACTAGGAGTGCTAGTAGGCTATATGAATTTAATAGCCTTAAGAAGATCTACTAGTAGTGCCTCTCTAACTTTCTTCTTAAATAGAGGCTTAAGTATGCGACCTTTCTTTAACTTCTATTAGTTATCCTTAGTTTCTACAACCTTCCCTTTTTCTTTACTAGTTGCCTAGCTCTTCTTAGGGTTTATACTTATAGAGTCGTAGGAGAAGTTAACTAATATTAATAATAAGAAGGAAGGCCTATGTTATAGTCGTCTTCTAAGGGTAATTAGTAATTAAGATTTATAGATTAGGTCTATTAGAAGCTTATAAGGGGACACCTCTAGTAGTAGTTCTAAAACGATTTATTCTTCGCCGGGACTAAACTAGTTGTTAAGAAGGTTAGTTATATAAGTAAAAGTTACCTTATAAGCTTCTTTAAGCTAGATTGTAAAGTCAAATTTTATGGATCTAGTGTCGTTCTATTTAACTTCGTTATATTTAATAAAGCAGTCTAGGCCTCTAGCGAAATTAAAGAGATGGTATATTTTAAGCTTATTATCTAGACAGTTCTAGAAAGATTCTAGAATCTCGTCTACTATAATAGGGTTAGGAGAAGGGCCCGTAGAGTTAGAACCTCCTAAGGCCTCCTATGTCTCTATAACTCTCTCTAAGAACTTATTTATAGTTTTATTATCTTCTTTATTAGGCAAGTTACCTTCCTAGTAAGGTCCGAAAACGCTAAGAAAGTCCTTATTAACTAAACGTCCTATCCTAGACTTAGCGAGTTAATAGAGAACCCATTTTCCTTGCCTATTATGCTATCTAGCGATGACTTCTCTTAATAATAACATCTAATTCTAAACACTCTTAGGCAAACGGAGTCCGGTCTTATAATTATAGCGGACATAGTTCGTAAAGCGAGTACCGATTATAGGGTTATAAGTTAAGTCGATCTTCTAAGCGGACACGAACTAGTCGAGTATAATTGTATCCTTTAGTAGATTTTAGTAATTAGCAATAGGGAATTTCTAGGAAATCGAGATTACCGTTTTGTTATTAACTTCTTCGCATAACTTATTAGTATTAGTCGGAGTAGGGAAAGTTATAGGTGTAACTTAAGGATGTTTACCGTTCTTAGGGGTAGCGTTAGGGTTAACGCCCTCTAGCGAGTTGTGATTCTAAACGGGCTCCTCTAGCTTAGGTATATCTCTATTTTCCAAAACTACTAGGCCATACGAAACTAGCAAAGGCGGAGATTCGCGTAAACCTTTTGTCTCTTCTTCTATCTTAATTTCTACATCCTCTAAGACCTCGACTTAGAAAGTAGGCTTACTTGTTACATCGTTAGCAGTTAGGTCGATATAGTCTTCTAGGTTAAGCGGTAGAGCCTTCTTAGTAGGCTATATTACCGCGCTAGGCTCGTTGGACATGTTAGCGATCTTCTTATAGTTTCTTGGAAATAGAAGGTTAGATAGTATGCGCGCGGCGGTTATATGGTGTACTCGAGAGTATAGCACGAAAATGGTTTAATTAGCACTTAAGGAGAGGTAATAAAAAGGTATGTTAGAGTCGTTAAAGGAGAAGCGTAAATACTCCTAGTATGCATAGCAAATAAGTATATAAACGGCGCGAGAAAGTAAGAGTGCAAATGTAAGTAACGGTCCGATATAAGAGTGAGGCACTGCCTCTAACTCTTAATTTAAGCTAGCGAAGGTGTATACTAGACGATCTTAAAAAAGTAGATACTATCGTAGGGCTAAAATAGGGTTTAGTAGAGTTCCTATAGGGTAAGAAAGCGAAATGTAGGGTTATAGGGCTATAAGGCTATAGGGCTAAGGTTCGCGAAGTAAGAGTAAGAGTTAGGATGCTAGAAAGGGAGAATCGAACAAAGCTTATCTAGCGCATATACTACTACTCCTAAGAAGGACTAGATAACATGTGCCTTCGCCTAATGTTAATAACACCTCTTCTTAGCTTTGCTATCCCTAGTTACATATTACTCGTTATTACCGAGCACATCTATACTCGCTCCCTTTTTCGCTTAAGGTACTTACTTCGATCCTTCTTGCTAGCTTCCTTCTTAAGTTCTTATCTTGCCCTTATTAGTGCATTATACTTCCATTGCTTAGAAACTATTAGGACAGTTATAAGGAAAAGTTTTAAGGATGTCGCCTGTTATTATAGTGCTCCGCCTTTGCCTCTTATAGATCCGGCAGACTTAGGAATAGATAGAGGGCTCTAGTAGGTAGCGTAAGTATACTCTAGTTCCTTATCGAGGTTATAGTCCCGTTATTTAGAAGAGTATAAGAGGACATCGGCAAGTATCTCTATCTTATCTTGTCTATGTCGTTTAACTTAGTTAGAGGCTATTTCCTTAGGTATTACTAGCTAGAGCGTACA